GACATGGTGTGAACAGAAGGAACGACTGAGGATATCCGTTGCTCGAGCCGGTCGGCATTCATTTCCCTTCCGAAAAAGAAAGACAGCGACAGCGACAGCGACCCAGCTCTAAAAAGGACCGCCACTGCGCTTCGTCCCGCAGAAAGGGAGTATGTGTGCATCACAAGTAGAGAGATTGATGAAAAGGGTCTAGCACACCCTCGGCGCTGCTTTAGCGCGTCTTCTTGAAACGTTGTCGTCGCCAGCTGTTTACTTAACGAAAACACCATCTAGACCATCAGGAAGCGAGTATGGATAATCATGATGGGCAGAAAGCTAATGCTTCGCGCGATGATTCCTTGGGACGAACGGCATGTTGGGTGCACCAGCGTGTGTCTGCAAACACTTTAGATGTACTTGAGCTGGAAGTATGAGAGTAGGTGATGTTAAAGTCAAAACCTCCGGAACGTCCTTACTGTGGATCGTTCAGGGATACTATCTACGACTTTTGTTCCTGCTCTATTCTGCCTGATGCTATTTGTCGAGCATACTGCAGTACTGGACTTTATGCCCTATGAGTATTTGTATCTTCCAATATTCCGCTTCATCATGCATTCGTCACTGATGCGACTCGTTCAAAGGCTTTTCAAGCGGTTGCACCCTTTTGTATGCTTTATCTTCAAAAAACAACTTACCTCTCGCCCACCGGAACCATTTCTTCGTACGCTTTCCCATGGGATCGAACATAATTGCGTCGATCTTCGAGATGGGGTGGGAACGATGAAACACTATTTTCGCAGCTGATAGATCTTCTGCCTCCAATGTGACTGCATGTCCGGCACTGTGTCCAGCCGAGAACGCTACGTCTGCAATGGCAGAGACAAACCCATCCTGGTCGATCGCTTCTGCCGCTGGGTTCTTGCTAAAACTTGTGGGAAATCTTTAGGACTGGCTTTCCCGGCCACTGTCGACTGTGGCGTTTTGTATGTCCTTGGAGCCATATCATGCGGCCCTAAACGGTATGCAATGATGGACACAATCGATGAGAGCCTATGAGTATGAAGTTGGTGTCCTCGTTTTAGCGTTAAGTGTCTGGGAGCGTGGAGTAAAAAATAAGAAGTGACTTGGAGGAAAAGATGGTCAACGCGGTCCAGCTCACCTTAAAGGTGCCAAAAGTAATATGATGATTGAGTCTAGAGTTCTATGCTATTTTTGCATCCGCCCAATGCGATCTATATTCGAATATACCTAGGCTGAGGGGCATCACTCCCTTCACTGCTCCTTTCTCGTGTCCCGTTTCTCTTGCTGTTCCTGCTTCTCCACCTCACCAGCATCTCTCTCTGCCTCAGCCGCTTCGTTAGTCTGGCCCTCCCCCTTTTCCTGCTCAGCCTTAGCATTAGCCTTCCTCTGATCTTCTTCGTCGATGTTCTCGGTGTCCTTTGGCGAGGATCTGCCCGACTCGCCATTCTCCTCATTTTGTTCATTTTCTTCTTCGATCAAATCTTGTTGCTCCTTGAGAACCTCAAGTCTCTGCTTGTTCGTCGCAGCACCTTCTGCATTGTGAACCTCAAGCTCGATCTCATGGAAGAGTTCCTCAGGGATGGATGAGAGGACAGCCTGTAACGAGTCGAACTGGGACGCGATCTCCGAGTCTTTACCTTGAGTGTACATGAAGGCATTGCTCAGGACAAGTAGCGTGGACGGGACGCCATACTTGAGACGCAGGTCAAGCCACATTTGAAGATCATCTCGTAGCCGGCCAGGGCTCATGCCGTGGGTTCGAAGACCCCGCGAAGCACATGCCATTTGAAGTTCCGGGACTGAAAGGCTATCGACGCCCTCATCGGAGATGGCACGATCGTCGCGTTTGATCTGGCGCATACGATGTCGGATCGCATACCGAAGCATCATATCTGTGCCAAAAGCGTTGAGATTCATGTATTTGGTCATGCCAACCAGTTGTGGACGGGACAGGTTGTCAAGAGTAAGATCGTCCTTGAAGATCTTGCAGACTTTGACGACATCCGCATGAGTGGGTGACTCTCCAGTGGCGCGTACTTTGCGGAAGAATTCAGTGAATTCTTCCTTCTGTGCATTGACAGCGCTGACTGGGAGACCGGTCTCTTTGAGCGTATCTCTCAGAAAACTGCTGACCTCCTTGCGCGTTGTTCGGAGATGGCTGGCTTTCTTGTCCTTTGACGTCTGACCTTCGTAGGTGCTTGGCAAAAGATTGGGGAAAAGCTTGAGCGCTACGGGGAGCAGGAGCTCGGCAAAGGGAACTATAACGAAAACGGAGAATGGAACAAGCCGACCCAGGTCTTGCACTGTACGTTGCAACTGCCGGTTTTCTCTTCGGCTGAGCTCGTAGCCAGCTGCCATTTTCACGGCGAGCTTCGTACTGATCCTGACCTCGGTAGCAAGCAGCTTTGTCCCATCCCAGTAGTGATGCACTTCTCGCTTTACCTTTCCCCATAGTGATAATTTCGGTTGCTCTTTTTTGGACTCTGCCAGCTTCTTCTCTTCCACTTTAGCTGCTGCTGCCTTGTCCGCAGCGAGCTCGTTCAGGCTTCTGTCTTCCATGGCTTTCGTCTTTGCGACCCCAGTGACTTGTCCTTCGGCTTTTCCCGCTGTCGTCTGGTCAGTAACTGATGATGCTACATCTGACGCAACTTTCGATGTTGAAGATTTCTTTGATTCATCGGGTGGAAGCGGCTTCTTGGCTTGCTCAGCGTTAAAGCCTGGAGGTGGGAATCCCGACCCTGCGCCACCGCTTGTTGAAGTCTCTGTAGCGTAGCCTCGTCGAGGAAGGAGTATGGCGAGCGCTCGAAGTTGTGGTGGTAGGTCTGTGGCATTGCGTCGCAGGAATGCGGAGTGAGCAGGGGATGGAGTGAAGGTGTTCCTCAAGGGCAGGAAGGCTATACAACATGTCAGTCGAAGCCTCTACCAATACCCATCATCACTTGAGCCCTACCCCCGGTACGGAGCGTCTGCCGCGCAGAAGCATTCTGGACGGCTCTGGCTGACGCGCTCATATTAGGGAAGTAATGGAGAGAGGCAGATAATTCGTGGCTTTGCAGCGACACCGATGTGACTGTACGCGTTGTACTTGCAAGCCTTGATGGATAGGGAAAAAGTCGTCACAGGGTTGTGTCGATGGGGACCTGCTGGTAATATTTCCCCTTAGTCAGGACTTGGGACTTTTGGCCGCCCTCGGTCGCAATGTCGGCCCGATGTCCTGCAGTCCCTTAGACGTGGCCTCCACCAAGCCTCTTCGGGTTGGCTAACGCTTAGTAATGGAGCGAGCGCTACCACTACCACGTCTAAGCGCAGATCTCTACACGTTTTACGAGTACGTTATAATTCACATACCAAAGGAGCGAACATGAAATGAAACGGCTGGCCTAAAAAACGGAGGTTACCTAAGATGCCTACCTATCCTACACGGGCTTCGATGTTTCTGAAGCTTTCAACTCCTGAGACTCTTGGCTCAAGCCTATATAACAGAAGAAAGCTGCTGGCTTCGAAGTCTTGCAGGGGCTGGAAGAGGTGTCTATTGGCTAACGAGCACCTCAAGCCTCACGGAGCGATCTTCGATAGCCTTTGTTACACAGAAAGTCATCTTTCTCAACTACATGTACTCACAATGAAGAAGGATATTGTGTCGAGTGTGTGACCACCGGAGGGTTTTCCGGTTCAACAAAGCGCTAGAGTAACGGTTGTGGCCCAAAAAAGGGTTGGCCGAACATGCCGACCGACTCTCCCACCTCTTCTATGTCTATCTGCTCTGTCACATTATTGCGCGTCTACACCTCTCTTTGTACATATGTACATCCCTTTTACAACCTCAACATGAGGCTGTAGCATATAAAGTCCGGAAGCTTCGAGCTTCTCGCGCTGGCCCGAGCAGCTCATCAAACCCGGATCCCTCGATTCCCCCTCTACAAGCCGACCTACTTCTCCGCCCCGCATACCTACATATCGCCTCCGAATGGCCACGAAGGAGTTCAAACGCGCCGCTCGCATCATTCTCGTCGGTGCGCCTGGCGTTGGCAAAGGAACGCAGGCCGAGCGGCTCATGAAACGTTTCCCTCAATTGTCCGCTGTGAGCTCTGGGGATCTTTTGCGCAATGCCGTTCGCAATAAAACGCCCTTGGGTAAGCCCCATTACCTGTCAACGGACATCAGGTCTTCCCGCCGGCATTACCGTCATGTTACATGAGCACCTCTAACAGCGTCTCTATTGCAGGCCAAGAAGCAGAATCCCACATGCAATCCGGCTCCTTAGTCCCCGACGACATGATCCTCCGCCTCATTCTCTCTGAATTGAAATCCAAATCTTGGATCCCACCCAGCACCTCCCTCACCGATGCCGGCCCCGCCCTCCCCTCCTCCTCCCCCACCGCCTCATTCATCCTCGATGGCTTCCCCCGCACCTCGCCTCAAGCGTCAAAACTCGACTCGCTCATTCCTATAAACCTAGTGGTGTCACTAATCACCCCGGTCAACATCATTCTGGGTAGGATAGCGAATCGATGGGTGCATGCGCCGAGTGGGAGGGTTTATAATACGGGCTTTAATAAACCGAGGGTGGAGGGGAGGGATGATGTGACGGGGGAAGCGCTGACGAAGAGGGAGGATGATGGGGAGGAGACTTGGAAGGCTAGACTGAAGAAGTTTGAGGAGACCAGCGAGCCTCTGCTAGAGCATTATGAGAGACAAGGGGTGCTCTGGAGGGTAGAGGGTAATAGTAGTGATGAGATTAGTCCAAAGCTTTTTGGGGAGTTTGAGAGTAGGTTTTGTTGACAGCGGTGGGATGAGCTAGGTAGGTTGTGTATAAAGGTGTCCTATTCATATCCCGAATAAACTCTAGGGAAGCCGAAAGCGACTTTTCGGGATCATATCTCTGACCTCTTTTGCATTTCTCCAGACGCGCTCGAGACATGGATATCCGCCAAGCCAGGCGCTCCGCTCATGCTAGAACAGAAAGCAACATCCGCCAAGAATGCAATGCCCAAACACCCCTACACACCATCCCTCTCATCATCCGCCGGCATCCTGCCCAATAGCTCCTCGACCAATATAATCAACTCATCAATATCTGGCCTCTCCGCTGGCTCAACCTTCAAACACATCCGCACAACATCCTTAACACCATCACCAACGGCCCCCTCCGCGGGCCCCTCCGCCGCTCCGTTGACCTTCCCTTTGCCCTTCGCATCTTTCTTGGCGCCCTCATCTGGGAACCTCCAATCTCCGCCCAAGACACAAATACTCAGACTCCCTCCTGTCTCTTCACTTCTTGCTTCAAAGGGGCTTTTGCCTGTTAGACAGGCGTACAAAGTGCATCCCAAGCTCCAGATGTCGACCTTGGTGTCTATGACGGAGCCTGTTTTGACGTCAAAGAGTTCAGGGGCGCGATAGGGCATGGTGCTGTGTTCTGCGGCGGTGTCCTGGACGGCGAGGGCGAGGGAGCGCGATGTTATAGGGGTCGGAGCAGGAGCGAGCGATCCAAGATCCATTAGTATTGGTGTTTTGCCGTCATCGGCAATCATGATGTTGCCTATGAAGCATATCAGCAAGCCATATGCCAAACCCAGACACATAACATGCCAGGTTTTATATCTCTATGCGCGTAAGCTCGTAGCTCTCCTTCTCCCATCCCTTCTTGCGACCTTGTGACCTCTCCTTCCATCAGCGGTTCCTGTTCTACGTCCTCCTGATCTCGCTCGGGCTCTTCTCTCCGCCGCCGTTGCTTGTTCTTTTTCGCGGCATCTTGATCTGCTTCGGCCGCCTCTTGCCGCACACCCTTTGCCTTCCTCTGCGACGCTACTCCTCCCGGCGCGCCTTTCACTCTGTACTGATGCATCGCCTTCAGCGCCCTTGCCACTCCTAGAAATAGTATCATTAACCTCCGCTCCGGGAACTTTGTATGATTGACCAGGTTTGCATTTATGGCGTCTTGGAGGTTCCCTCTCCGGTAGTATGGTAAGAGTATGTACACGGTCTTAGCCCCCGGATCCGATTTGTCTTTTGCAGAGACAACGGAGTGGTCGACGGAATGTATGATATTCGGATGGGGCGAGAAGAGGGTATAGGCTTCCACTTCTTTCAAGGCGAGCGAGACGGATTCTTGGCCGAAGGGACAGCGTATCTTCTTCAGAGCGTAGAGTTGGGATGTTGACGTATCTTGGACCAGATAGACGTAGGAGAAGCCTCCCTAAGTTCTGGCAATTAGACCTTTCAGTGTTGGGGAGTGAAGCTGGTGGGTCTGCTTACCTCCCCTAGCAGATGTTGCATCTTGAAACTTCGATTATTTATCTTCAGTTGCGGCGATCCAGGGAAACAAAAGAAGCAGTTCGTAAGAGAGTAGAGCAGATCCATAATTACCTGCGACATTGCGCCGAGCTGTGTATGTTGCTGCTGCTGCATAGATGGATGGGGAGCGCGTCGATTTCAAATCTGCCGGCAAGACGAGGCAATGGCTTACGGAGGACTATGGTTGAAATCCATGTGGTAAACAATCTCTATAAACCTGGAAATGACCAAGGGTCTTGTCTTCCGCATCAGGAGCATTTGTAGAGTGAGCCTGTACTGAAGCCAGCTGTAAGACCAGGCATAGATAGCCCTAACCCTATCGGATTTGTGGACATTTTCGGCGCTCGAAGAACTACAAGTTCATGTAAGGTAGATGTCGCTCATATAGCTCGCTTGAGTTTCGGGGGTCTTCATCTTACATCGATGTATGATATATAGATACAGACTTTTCTCGGGCACCAATTAATTAATTCTAAACCCTTGTTTCTTATGAAACCCAACCCATCCACTCCCATGCCTTTTGAATTGAATCTGGTGTAAAATTTCCTCTTGTCATCGTTCACAGCTGTAGTCGGTAAGTTGCTACCTCAAAGGCTCTCAGCTCAATTGCGATTTCCCCATCCTTGATTTCCACTTCGCCCTCATCATCCTCAAGTAGATTTGTCCTACAGACCTTTTTGACCGCCAACGAGGTCTTGATTGTGCCTCTAGCCTTACCACCTAAACTTTCGTACACTCTAAGAATGATACTTCTACCCTTACGCTTAGATAACTCGCCACGAGACACGTCTTCATCGTCTTCGCCGCGTTTGATAGTATCTAAGACTAGCGCGGGGGAGCCATGAAGGGTGATGCTAGAAAGCAAAGAGGATGCGGTCGAGACGGTTGGGTGGGAGTATATCTTCATTGGCGTGTTGAAATTGCGGGCTGTGCGAACTGTGCGTGAGTCAAGTGGACCGGCGTGGGGGAGAATGGCGTAACGGATGTGGTGGCGGCCTGGGAGGGTGTTAGTGGAAGGGTTCAGACGTCTGGATTGTTCATGCAATAATATTACCCATATCAGCATGTGCGTCTGGTGCTTTTGGCGCTCGTAGAAGAGAGAGACGCATCATATTCCCACTTATTGCAAAGCCATACTTGCTATCATTCATAATGGAGACGCCATAACCATACTCTGAAAGATCAGCCCATTTATGGCAGCAGACTTCGAATTTGGCCATATCCCAGCTGGTATTGTAGTGAGTAGGTCGCCGAATGATTCCAAATTGGGTCTCGTAGGAGGCTTCGGTATTCACAATGTCGACTGGAAATTCCACTTTGAGAAATTTCATCGTCTCTCGCCACTCAACCTCGCTAGCCATCTCGATATAAGATGGCTGGTCATCGACGCTTGCTGCGAGACTTATCGTGGTTTTGATCCAGCTTTTCTCGCCAATTTTGGTCTCTGTGACCAGGCTGACCATATGAGGGCCGTCCTCAACGATTCGACTTGAGCTGGACAGCAACTCTTTACGGGTCTCTAAGTGGTACACCTCGACATCCCAGGCTTGCCAATACAAAGGTTTGTCATCGAAGATGACGAGCTGGTTTGCCTTGCCTCCCTTGGCAATGATTTCGCGATTCACAGAAAGATCGACAAGGGAAGTGATACTGCCGCCTTCTACTTCTATCTTGTAGCGGGCATTCGATAGGTGGAATACGCCTTTCTTAATTTCTTCGATAGATGCTTTTGACCTGGCATCCTTGTCTGTCAATGGCTCGACACTGATTACCCCAGGACCGCCCTGTAGAAGACCATATTCAAAGTCTTTCGACTTCGTAACCTTGGGAAGCTTGATGATTTCTGATCGTGACCATGGAAGGGTATTGATCGCAGTCATGCTACCCTTCTTCAAACCCTGTCTGGAAAAGTCAAGGACAGACAATGCATCCTTCATAAGCTTTTCGCCGGTCTTGAAACCGTAATCGTACAACTCATCGGAATCCCTATAGCACATCTCGATCGCACTGCCCGGCAGACAATCATGAAATTGACACAAAAGTGTATTCTCCCAAATATCGTCGATGTCTTTCTTGGGATATTTATAAGTGCTGTCTTTAATAGTAGCCAACGTCGCGAGGTACTCGATGTCGTGCATCATGATCTCGGTCTTCCTGTTGTTCCACTTGTTGTTTGCTTGGGTGGTATAGGTTCCTCTATGCAGTTCGAAGTACAGCTCACCGTACCATGTCACAAATTTAGTACCTTCCTCCGCCTTCTTCTCTAGTCTGTCGAAGAAGTCTTCTACAGAGGCGCCCATTTGGACTCGAGGCAAGAGACCTGTGGTGTCACTCAAACCTCGACACCGTCGAAGCTTTTCGAGCATCTCGAAGGTTGGGCCGCCTCCACCGTCGCCTTTACCAAAGGCGAGCAGTCCAGTGGCATCTTGGTCCATTGACTTGTTTTGGGAAAGACTGCGGCTCACATCTCCAAAGTGCGCGTCGGCAGTATAGGTGTTAGCAGGTGCCATATGACACAGTACCTGAGTGCCATCAAGTGAGACCCAGTTGAAAGTTGTATGCGGGAAGTTGTTGATGTTGTTCCAGCTTAGCTTCTGGGTGAAGAAACGACTCATACCTGCAAGCCGGCATAGCTGTGGCAGCTGGGTGGAGTAGCCAAAAGTATCCGGTAGCCAGAAAGTCCGACTACGCTCACCGAAACGGCTCTCGTAGAATCTTTGACCGTACAAAAATTGTCGTACCAAGGATTCTCCGCTGGGCATGTTTGTGTCATGCTCGACCCAACTGCCACCAATTGCCTGGAACTTCCCATCTTTGATCTTAGATTTGACTCGATCAAAGAGAGTTGGATAGAGTTGCTGTAGCCATTTGTACTGTTGTGCTTGAGACGCCACGAATCGATGTTCTGGGTAGCGATCTATCAGATCACACTGATTTGCCCACGAGCGAGCGACCTTTCTCTTTGTCTCCGCCCACGGCCAAAGCCAACATGTATCAATGTGGCAATTTCCAATGCCGTAGATCAGATATTCTTTATCATTGTCGTATACCTTTGATGAGTTGACGTCACCAAGATACTTTGAGGCAATTTTACGGCACTCGACGATTGACTCCTGGCTTCCATCACCGGCAACGAAAGTATTCATAACCGTGTTACAAAGCTGTAATGCTTCATGAGACTCCCAGGAGTTCTCTGGGAACTCTCGTGCGCCATCACCCATGATCCAGAAATCGTAAAATAACGCCCTAGCCTCCTGGTTCACGGCCACTATTTCTGCTTTCCATAACTGGAAATATTTGTTTGGGTCTGGCGGTTGGATGGAATCTCCGCCTGGAGCATTACCGAACATTCCATTGCACGCCATCTCAATATAGAATGTATGGAAATTGCCGTCACGGAAATCCTTTGGAAGGACCCACTCTGTTCGGTCTCCCCCAGTCAATCCCTGCAACGGCACCCCCTTCTCGGTCCAGATCAGTCCCTCGTTGCCAGCGTCCCAGTGAAACTCGAGCTGTTCCTTTTTCAGCAGATGTGAGGGCACTTTGAGCTCCACTTTGATCCAATGAGTGGACCAGCTGGGTCCGAATGATGCCCCAACCTGTGTCTTCTTGAACTCATGGGACGTAGCTTCTTCGAATGGAGGCCGAGCTAGATCTGGAGGGGAATAAACGGATAGTTTGATGTATTCTTCACCGGAGGCTTTGCCCTCGTACATTTTCCTAATTTATTTATTCATCAGCGAAGCACCTCCAATTCCAACAACGCGACTGCAACGTACGCCCACAAGTTCTGTGAGGCATATTGTCCTCGATCTGTAAAGGATCCCAGTCTACCCTTGTAGATAGAATGTATCTGTTGTCCTACGGGACCTGCTGAGAGCTTTGGAAATGTGTCCGCCGTCCTCCTAATTGCTGTTTCGCCGCCCATAATTGATGGTGACTCTCGACAAGGAATTCTGATTAACAGAAGTGGGAAGGGTCGAGATGAATTGTTGATATTTAGTATATTGCTCAAGAGAAGGAGGAGGAGGAGGAGGAGGAGGAGGAGGAGGAGGAGGAGGAGGAGGAGGGAGGAGGAGGAGGAGCTTGATGCACTAGTCGGATCTAGCCGCGTTTGCGGGGTCTGCTGAGGTCAATCTCTCTCGACGGAGATGATGCGGGGTGGGGGGGCATTAAAAGACAGTCTCCTACCATCCTTTGCACGTGGTGAATACATGAAAAGTGAAAAGCAACGAATGGTCCTCGCGGGATACATATTTGTTATTATCATTATTATCATTATTATTATTGTAATTGAGGTTCTGTAATACTCAATAATAAAATCAATTTAGATTTTACCCTGAGGTCTAAGCAGCACAATCTTCTTCTTCATCTCTGCTCTCCATCTGCACCATTTCAAGTCAGCATGGCTTCTTTAATGTGGATGAACCTTTTATGAAGACGCCCTCGCGAGCCATGTCTTGCGGCTCAAGACCAAGGATTCGATTAGGAAGAAACTGCTCCGGAAAGTGCACTTACTCCTCGTTCTTCATTTTCTGTTCCTTCCCTCTTTCAAATCCTACCGCCATGGCCCCATTCTGAAAAACACTCGCGAGCTTCTTTCCCACCGAATCATCCCTCTTCGGCGCTGGACTTTTGGGACTCCTCGGCGAATCCCAGGCTCTCTTGCCGGATTCTTGATATGCTTTCACACGTGTGGCTGGGTGGCGCGGATCTCTAGCAATAGCTTTGCTTTTGAAATTGTCGGAGTCATGCTTCATCTTTGACTTCGCCGGTGAGTAGAGGCCTGTGAGTGTATTATACATTTCATCAATACCGTTCTGGAGACTGGCGCGCTTCGCTGTGGTTAGCTCGCCAGCTTGCCCATGCTGTGGCAGTTGTAGATCTGTGTGTGCCTTCTCTCTCCTCTCCTGTGTGCGCGAATGGAAAGCCTTTTTCGCACGGGATTTAAGAGAAGGCTTGGATTCGTCGTGTAGACTATCGACCTCAGAATCGGAGCAAGAGAATTGACTCGAAAGTTTTCTATCCTCGGAATTACCACTCAAAATTAGTGGTGCTGGCATGAGTGATCCATCCAGAACATCGGTAATGCGAGCTGACATTTCGGACGGCAAATAGCCGGACTCAGAATAGACTGGCTCCGGAACAAACGCGGGCAACACGGATGTATAGTCTCTGGCTCTCTCTTCAGCACTTTGCGTACGTTCGGATGGCGCCCAGCTTCCCTGGCTGGAGTCTCTCCTTGAAGCCGGCAAGCTCGAGCTAAATTCGTCATCTGAATATTCATATTTGGGAGCCTTCCATTCGGTAAAGAACGAGTTCCCTGATGGCTGTTTCCGACCTGTGAAGTCAGAGGCTCCGTGGGTATGAGCGTCTCGTGTCAGTTGTGGCCGTAGCGGTACTTTATCTGGTAACTTGGAGGTGCTCGACCGAGTCTCTGAGGGTGCGAGGAAGGTCTTGGAAGATAGTGCTTCGTCTTGTAAGGCAAATCTGGGCGTCCTTGGTCTCTCTTCCTTGAGGTTGGTGTATGTGGTGGATGGTTTCCTTAGAGTCATTGACGTGCTGGGTCTTTCTTCCTTAGAATTGCTGTAAGTGCTAGAAGCTTTTCTTGAGGTCGGAGCGCTGTGGGGACTGTAGGGAATGGCATCTTTCCTTGGAGTTGGAGGGAGCGCCTTGCTACTACTGGCACGGGAGTATGTGAATCCAGGAGTCAACGGTGAAGGTACAGCTATCTCCATACCGGAAAGAGACGACGAATGCTGATTGAGCAAGAGGTGTGTGGGTCTAGTTGAGGATTTGGCTGGGGACATCGGAGAGATAGGTGAGAGAGGGGAGATTGGTGAGATGGAAGACATGGTGAGATCGAGTTGCTTTGGAAAGCTTGACATACACGTGGAAATACTACCTCGACTTAAATAGGAAAGGAAAAAGCCCAGGTCTGAGAAGTGGATCACGACGGTCACCGAGAACAAAGGGAATATTTCAAGGCGAGAACAGCCACGTGCTTATAAATAATGATTGTAGACAGCGGATATGCCACACTATGAATGAGGAGGGACAAAGAAGCCCCAAGGCTTTGTACTGAAACTGCCGAAACCAGAAGCATTAGTGAAGCAGTGCTAGGTGAAAAAGGTCGCTTTCTTCTGGAACGTGTCTGGGACGCCATGATTCAAGAACCGAGAAAGAGTTGATTTATGCGATGTTCTAAGCGGATGCGGTTCTTTCCAAACTTGAACAGTCGACCAATGGGGCCTTTCTTATCACTCCCTTCGACAGATGTTGGTTGTTATTATTAATAATTCAATTCTATCGTGTATTTAGCTGGATGTAACACCTTCGATTCAGCGCCGTCCTTTGGTCAATTGATGCAAGGTTGCTTCGAGACACAAACTCTTTAAAAGGTCATCTACTGCATTTAATATTTTCGGATATCAACTCGTGGAAGGCCGTAGTAGTACACAATCATATAGTAGCTATTCCTCACTGATGGTTCTCCTAATGGAGAAGACCTCATGCTACGCCATCAGTTTCACGGAAAAGTGTTGAATGAGACGATGTTTCGATGTTTCACTTTGTACTTGTACTGTGCTAACGGGACCTGCCGTACTTAGGATCTTGGCGCTTTAAGGCTGACTCCGAAACATGGATTGTGACCGAGCACAAGACTATCTGTGTCGGCTTAAAACCAATAAGCATCATGATATTCAGTGCTGCTTTTTGCTGCTCGCAGGGACACCATGACTGATTATAACTCCACCGCACGAGCACTCGCTCTGCCCGTCTCGCCTTCTTTACCTAATATATCTCATCAAGGCACTCAAGCATCATGGACTCGGTCGAGCCAGTCGCTTACGAGAAACAACCAGGCTCATGGCCGACGGAGATCAAGCTTCATAGACAGGGCTCTGAATAGCGCGGAAAAGTTGTGGCGCCGATTGTTCAAGATGGTAGAGGGGATGACCGCTATCCAGTTGGCGCTGTCTGTCATTGCTGGCCTCGTCACGATTACCCTTGCCATATTGTTCCTAGTCTTCAGCGAAAGCATATTTGCATGGCTGGAGCCAGTGGCAGAAAAATGGAAGAATCTGAGAGGGGGTTGGCTGATTCTTTGGGCATTGACCTTTGCGACTGCGTTCCCTCCGGTAATAGGCTATTCGACCTGCCTGACGCTCGCTGGCTTCGTCTACGGCTTTCCATGGGGGTAAGCTATCACGCAATTCATGCCAAGTGCATCAATTTCTATAGGCAGCTCACACGATAACAGCTGGCCAATCGTCGCTTCTGCCACTATAGTAGGATCTACATGCTCATTCGTAGTCTCTCGAACGCTGCTCTCGAATTTCGTCAATCGGCTCGTAGCGAACGATAAAAGATACGAAGCACTGTCTCTCGTCCTGAAACACGACGGCCTGAAGCTTTTAGTGATGATCAGACTCTGTCCTCTCCCTTACAGCATCTCGAACGGTGCCATATCGACTTTTCCTACCGTGCAACCGCTTATGTTCGCCGCCGCAACTGCCGCTGCGACGCCTAAGCTCCTAATAGCAATATTTATTGGATCTCGACTTGCAGTCATTGCAAAGAGTGGAGAGAAGATGGACACGGCCACTAAAGCCATCAACTGGGCAAGTATCATCTTTGGTGTCATTCTTGGCGTTCTTACAGGTTGGATCATTTATAAAAGGTCGGTCTATGAAAATTCGTCAAAAGTCTTTATCTGAACCTTCGCAGGACACTTGCTCGATCGCGGCAAATTGAGGCTGAAGAAAGGTCTAAACTCCAGCATCCAGCAACACACAGTGAAGATGACTTCTCGGATAATCCAGAGGAATCGACTGCTACCCTCATTCGAGACGACCAAATAGATTTCCTAGGTCCCGACGGAGGCTCAGAGGGCTACCGAGACGACTTTGATGATAATGTCTTCAGGTATGGTGATGACGAAGAAGAGGGAGCAATCGGTCTCGACAAACAGCCGCCTCAACGTTAATTTCCGACTCGCACCCGAGTTCCTCAACATGGACTTACGTGCTCAAGTAGGACCAATTGGATAGTTACGGTGTTTGAGTATGAGGTAGAGCATTGCATATCGGCGCTTAGCATTGCAAGGGCACGTTTAGACGTACTGGTCGAATGGGAGAAGCATGCTTGGAGAGCAATATAGATGGTGCATATGAATAGATGCATTCAAACCGTGTATCATTTCCATTAGCCAATATTCATAGTAGTACCAGCAACAGTAGTACCAGCAATAGTAAAGTAGTACCAGCAATACTGTAATTACATTCTACAAGTCGCCAAGCCTAGAGCGCCGGCCCTCGGCCAAAAGTGAATGCCAATTCCTCCACCACACTCCCTCACCGGCTCTACATGTATATCTCTTACATACTCAAGGCAGCACTGATCTTTGTTACCCTTCCTTTCCCCGCAACAAGATCTGAATCTCTGCCCCGTTTCGGTCGCCCTTTGCAGAGCTAAAACTGCTTTCCACTTCCCAAGGCTACTCATGGACAACGATTTCGACAGCGTGTCATGGCAGAACGATCCAGACAGTGACAGTTCAAGACCCACCACTGCAGGAACCAGTCGACCGGACGAGACTGCATATGGAGCAAAATCAACCGGTAAAAGGAAAGCAAGCCATAGCTCAGCACAGGCAGGCGCAGACGCAGACCCTGTGGACCTTGCGGGCATAGGTGATGGGAGACTGGATTGTACAGTGGATACACCTCTGAAGGAGAACGATGGCACGAAAGACTCATACGTCTCCTACATGGTCACCACGAAGGTACGTTTCTGCCATTTCCAATATCCAAGCGCCCACTGCTCAAAATACGAATCAAGTATTTGCTAACAAGTGATTATAGACCGACTTCGCCTCTTTCCAGAAATCCACCGTCAAAGTACGTCGCCGCTTCACCGACTTTGTTTTCCTGTACAAGATGCTCTGCCGAGAATACCCTCAATGTGCCGTCCCCCCTCTCCCAGACAAGCACAAAATGGAATACGTCCGCGGCGACCGCTTTGGGCCTGATTTTACCCATCGAAGAGCTCACTCCCTCCACCGCTTCCTGAAACGACTCGTCTTGCACCCGACACTCCGCCGCGCCGCCCTGCTCATGATCTTCCTCGAATCCACAGATTGGAACTCAACTATGCGGACTCATCCTAAACGCAGCATCAGCGTCTCTGAATCAGGCACTTCGGTGTTCGACAACTTCGCAGACACATTTGTTAATGCCTTTTCTAAAGTCCACAAGCCGGATAAACGATTCATCGAAGTGCGGGAGAAAGCGGACAAACTCGACGAAGATCTTGGACACGTCTCCCGTATAGTAGCACGCCTGGCTCGCAGAGAAGGAGATCTAGAATCTGATTACACAGACCTGAGCATCCAATTCATGAAACTAGGAGCTCTGGAACCAGGTGTAGAAGGCCCAGTACATGCATTTGCCCAAGGTGTGGAAGAAACGGCCAAGGGTATAACGGCGCTGAAGGAACATACGGACCAAAGCTACCTGGGCAGTTTACGGGACATGGAAGCCTACACCTCATCATTAAAATCCCTACTCAAATACAGAGAGCAGAAACAACTCGACTACGAAGGTCTGACCGAATACCTCACCAAAGCATCCTATGACCGTGACACCCTTGCCTCTTCTGGCCATACATCACAAGGTCCCACCGGCTTCATACGCTCAAAGATTGAAGATGTGAGAGGAGTAGATCATGAGGTAAGTAGAAGAGATAGGGTGCGGAAACTGGAAATGCAGATTGAAAAGCTAGTGCGTGAGGTAGAAGATGCGAGAAGAACGACAGAGGCGTTTGATGGAGAGGTGGTGAGGGAGGTGGGGGATTTTGAGCGGATCAAGGCGGGCGAGTTTAGGGATTGTTTGGGAGCATTGGCGGATAAGCATGTGGAATTCTATTCCGGAGTGGTGGAGACTTGGGAGAGTTATATTAGGGAGATGGAGGCGGAGGGAGAGTGAAGAGGGTGATGGGGTAACGATTGTACATATGTAAGGGACCTTGCAAGGGAAGTAACGCATGAGGGAATCATGACATATGCCAACGAATATTAATAATACTTTACCAATACTCATGGTGAAAGTAAAGCAAATGGCAGTGAAAGGGGAAACTCTGTTATTGATGTCAATATGCTAAAGGAACTCCACGCCATGCAAGCCCCAAATTACTCTGCAACCTCCCAACAAAAGCTGCCATCCAAAAGAGCCCTCACTTCTCATCTCTGCTTTCCTTCCCTCTCTCAGCCGCTCTCTCAGCCGGTCCCTCATCCCTATACCCTTCATCATCCTCATCACTCAACAGCCCCTCCTCATCGCTCTCCCCCGCAAATGCATCATATAGCTCTCCCGCCCTCCTCCCCTTCTTCTTCCCACTCACGCCACCATTCAGCGCCACATCCTCATCATCCAGCACTTCAAACTCGTAGTCCTCCCTCTCGCTTCTCCTACGCTTACGGCGCTGGACGAAAAAGTACGTGCCGAGACCGGCGCAGAAAAGTACGATGATGGCGAAGGCGCCGTAAATCCAGACTTGGGTGCGCTTGCTGACGCCGAAAGTTGGAAAGTAATGGGGGAGGAAATGGGAAGACTCTGTGTCTTCTTCGGGTGGTTCTGAGGGAAGACTGGTTACGGTAGCAGATACAGATGCAGATGCCGATGCAGATACAGATACAGATGGAGTGGTTGTTGTCTGATGATCTGAGCTTGTGGGTTTTGCTTTACCTGTGGGTTTTGCGTTTACGGGGCGGTGTTGGTGGTCAGTCGGGTTTGCGGGGAGGTCGATTTCGCCGGTGACAGGAGCGACGCTTACGAACGATGGAGAGGCGGTCATGACATCGTGATCATCATCATCGTCCTCCTTGGGCATAGGGAGGAGCTCCTGAGATGAAGGATCGACACATTCGCCCCAAAGAGTCAATTTCCAGTCAATGAAGGAACCATTATGCTCGTTTACTTCGGTGTCTTTGACGACAACGCTCCATTTGCCGATGCCGGGTTCTCCCCTAGATTATGTCAGTTGATTTGGAGGTCTTGGAGTGGAGGCAGAATGCGAGCTTACCAATGGGCTACAGACATGAAAGTCCAGTCAACGTAACCTTGTTTTGCGTCGTCTAAGCGGCGTGTTACACTTAAGTGGCTGACCAAATTTGCAGGGCTTCGGAGCTCGACGCTGAGGTCGCCACGGCGGGTATGTTCAATGTTCATAGTGACAGTGACATGTTCGACTCTTTCCAGGTTGGCTTTCTTCATTTGGTCTTCGGTGACTTCAAATGTGCTTATTAGCCCCTCTACTCCCTGAGGGATGGGGTGTTTGACGTGCATCCATGGCGAATTCAACCATGCTTGTGGCTTAAGGAGATCGATGGTTTTGGCCTTCTCAACAACAGCGTATGCGTCTAATTTGCCATAGCCGTAGGCATGGCTAAACTTCCTCCCAATGTAGGATGTATCCCAGTCTTCATCCTCGTTGATTGGAACCGAAGTCAGGACGAGAATTTGTTGCAAATCCCGCCAAGTGAGCTCTGGTCGAGCTGACAATGCCAAGGCGAATATACCAGCACCCAGTGGCGCAGCAGCGGAAGTGCCACCATGGTTCGCGTAGCACTGATTGACGCCCACATCCGTAGTATGTATGGCATCCCCGCTGCCACTGCTGTAGGTGACTACCAGCTGAGCGGAACAGTGTTCCGAGTAATATGTTTGTTTACCTTTTCTGTCAATACCTCCGACGGTAATCGTGTAGATACTATTCGTATATCCATCAAAATTGCAATTATCCCCAGATCCGCGACCGTTTCCCGCGGCGAAGACATAGATGTTTCCCTTTCCTTGTCGTCCCTTTTGAATGGCGTTTACTACAGCCTTTCTAATCAGGATACCCGGAGCATCCATTGACCGTCCGTCATCTGGAGGACCCCATGAGCAGGAGTATATCTGATTGTCCTGAAACGCATAGTTCATCGCCGATGCTTCATCTTCGTCTGTGATGATCTTCGAAAGAATCCGGAGACCCCCAATCCGGGCACTGTAGGCCACGCCGACACCGCAGACCCCGTTTTTGACAGCAGCAATCTCCCCAGCGCATCTTGTGCCATGTCTGTCATCTTTGAGTCTTGGTTTGGGTTCATCCGTTTGTTCGTTGAAATCGTACGATCCTTTAGCAAAGTAATTATCCTTCAAATCGTCGCTGTACATATCAATACCATCATCGACCATAACGGCAGTGGCACCTTCGCCGGTGATGCCCTGTTTCCATACACCAGTAACATTTATATCGTGGCCAAGCTGTATGGTATTGAACAAATGCCATTGCTCATTGAATATGGGGTCCTCGATACTGAGTTCCCTTGCCAGGTCTGTCCTCTGGGTCACAGCTTCTGGGTTCGCGACAGGCTCTGTATTCACAGGTACATCTGCGACAGAAGCAGGCTTTGCACCTTCCTTACTTCCAGGGACAGGGGGCGCCCGATGTGGTATGGGAGGCAGGACGTTTCTCTTCACCATGCGAGCCTTAGTCTTCTGCCTTTGGGACCATAAAACTCCTTGCAGAGCACCAAGTCCAGTCAAGTCTCGTCTCCGCCGCCGCCGTCGTAGGTCTTCGAGTATAGCATCCGCTGCATGCCTTCTACGGCGGGGCGAGGAAAAGGTGTGGTGATCCGGGAGCTCTCCTAGCTTGCCTTCATAATCAAGGCCAAGAGCTGACGCAACCTGTTGAGGCGAGGCACCGGATCGGAGATGAAGGGCATAGTAGTCGTGGGTTTCGTGGGTGCGAACGCGTGGAGTTGCTGCCGAGGAGAGGCATACTAATGCCAGCAACCCTAGGCATTTCGGAAGCAGCATAATCTGAAAACAAAGGCTTCACAGAAGCGCCATGAAACAGGAGTGGGGTTGCTGTGAACGGTGGAGAGCCGTTAAAAATCCCTCAATCAAGATTGGATACGAGATGCTTCGAGAAGTGCAAAATGGGTGTGACTTGGAGACAATGCTCTTTGTCAAGCTGCGAGTGAGTCGACTACCATCAACGCCAATTGTAACGAAAGATGTGCAGGATGTGACCGCACGCTGCACTGAAGAACAAGCCCTAGTTTTGTGTAGGATATTATGATGATTAGGTCGTGCGAGGAGGGCGACTAAGGTGTCCTCTGTGAATACCTTGTCAACTTACTTTAACTTTGACTGCACCTGCGGCTGCGGCTGCAGCCCTATAAGAGGTGACTGAGGGGGCCTGAAGCCTGCCAGTGGCTGCCACGATGGAGCTCGGTTGGCGGGCCGGTGGATTTAATTGGGGGCTGGAAGCTTGGCGACTGGCTCAAGTGCTAACCTTGATTCTCCAGCCATGTCACCAATGTGACGAGAGCTCCTGTTTACTTTGGTAGCTTTTCTTCTGCTTTCGCTTTTTCCATTTCAGTATGCCAGACATATGTGGCCAGTTAGCTATGAAGATGTGTATACATCAATCTTTGACCTATCAAACATCATTGCCATAATGACCCTCTTTTTTTCGACCTGAGCAATCTACATTCATTTACTCGAGAGCTCAACCTCCATGCGCCTCGAATGATGAGCGTTTGATTTCTCCATTCTTATCAACCCTCAGTACAAAACCATGGAGACACAGCGCATGCAAATGCAGCGACTGTACGATGCAGGCACAGAATTAAATCAGGGCCCGTTGAGGGTTAATCCAAATCTCCCACTCCAATCGTCCCTGCCTTCGTCGCAAAGCGGGGATCGATCCCCTCCAACCAATGGTTTGGCAAGGACGACCTCCAAAAGGCGAAGGCCAACTGGGACTGGACCTGGAAGGACACCAATCGAGAGCTTTCCACAACCTCCTGCTCCCGAAGTACCGAAAGCACCACCTGTTTCGTACCGTCCTCCACATGGCAGCGAGACCTACAGCCCACCCGAAGGCAACTTTCCAGCCTCTTTTGCAGAGCGAGCGCGTGTTCTGACCGGAAAGTCACTACCCGCAGAACCACCAGATCTCAACCCTGAGCCCCTCCCTCAGCCAGCACGGCCAGAGAGACGAGGAAGTCTCAATCGTCCCATTGGTGGATTATACTCAGAAATCCAGAAGCACAAAAGAGACTCATACCCTCCCCCTAACGGTCCTATATCACCCAGGCGGTTCTCAAATCCAGCAAGCCCACGACAATTCGAATCTAGAAGTGGCAATCCTCCTAGTCGAAAAAGCAGCTCAGCAACAGCTCAGAAAACCCCAGAAACTCTGTCTCCTGCTACCCAGCCGAGTGCTAGACGTGCTCCAGCCAGTGTAGCGCAACCACAAGGAAGAGAGTGGGCGCCAGAGCATTCGCCGTTGCAGAAACTCGAGGTCGAGCTTACCAGCAAAGAAAAGAAACGAGCACGTGTAGAGGCTGCTGAACGAAAGCTTCGGGAATCTCAGGCCCGCAACAGGCAGCACGACTCTGGTCGAGAAAGTGACTTTGCCGCGGATCGAAGCACATCAAGACGTGTTTCTAGATATACTGGTGCTGCTAAATCACGAAGATTTCCTGACCAGACTGAAGTCAATTGGCCTGACGGGCACAGAGAACAACCGATTCGCGAATCACAACCACAACGAACTTCAGGAAGGACATATTCTGACTCCTACCAGCCTTTGTCTTCAAATCGTACCGGCAAGACATCTACAAGATCGACCGAGACGCCCCAGTCCGACCAGCACCAAGGACGAGGCGTGAGATTCCAAGGCGAAGAGGATACTGAAGATCTTGATGCCTACTCTAGCGATATGGACAAGGCAGACTCGCGCAGTCACAGGAGAAGTTGGGGAACGGAAGCATTGGCAAGATCAGATCAAGAACGTGCTGCTCGGAGAGACAAATTTCGTCGAGACGCAGTAACGGTGGGAAAACGGACGCCATCCAGAGACGTACCCACAGAACAAAAGGAGCTGTACAATAGTAGAGTGGAGAGATTGAATGAAGATGCGTCAGCCGCAACTTATGGAGGCGCACCAGACCCTGTACCACGGCATACTGTACAGGACCAAGGGCAGGCTACAAAATACGGAATACCTCCACAAACTGCTGCTGGTATCCAGGCCAGACAGATCGTGGGATTTGGCAGTGGGTCGCAGGGAGTGATCGAGGGTCACGCAGATCGAAAACATCACCTCTCCACCATCTTGCATCGAGGTCACAACCACACTGCCAGTGCGTACGAACAGCCCAATGCTAGGCCAAGAAATCTTGACGAGTGGAAGCAAGGAGGTACAGCAAGACTCTCGGCTGCTGATTTTGTTTCTGGGAAAGAGTCAAAAGATAAAGGGAATACGTGGTGGGAAGAGAGCAAATCTGACAGTCGCCGCAAATCGGGAAGAGCAAGACAGGCACAACCTCTCCAAAGAGACTATCAGGACAACAACGGTAAGATACCAGGTTCCATTTCTAGTCAGACAACAAGATCTGCAGAGTCGCCCTCAAACGAACGCACAATTCGTACAAGGCAATATGTGGGACACGAGCAATTTCGGAGGGTCAGAAACCACTCGGGATCGCCTTATGAAAGTCATGTGTCCCACTTTCTCCATCGTACAAAGAATGAGCAGCTTTCAGGTCTTTCGTCTGTGTACTCTTACTCATGTACCAATCTGGCTGATCACGACCCTGCACACTTTGAACATATTTGCGAGCCATACTTGAGCAAAGAGCTAACTTTGAGTATGCGGTCTGTCCGCATACGGCCAGCTCCAGCACTCGCTACCTTTGATCCACCACTCTACCTGAAATGTGGTCCTCTCTTGCGCTACACAGGCCTGAAGAGAGACAGACTGCAGATGCAGACTAGAAGTGGCCCATCCAGCAGCGAACGCGAGGCATGGAGAGGTAGCGTCATGATCGTCACAGCGGATGCCGACTCATCATATGATCCTGCACCAACTTTGCGCCTATTCCCAGAAGCAATGGATCTCTTGCCTCCACCACCGCAACATATTGATGCCGAAGACGGTCACGAGTTACCTGCTGAATATATGGATCCTATAGCGGGCTTGCCTAAATTGTCAAGAAGTGGAAAGACCGTATACGTCAAGCCTGTAGACGATCTCGAGCAAGGCGTGGACTTGTCGCGTCTTGAAGATGATGACGGGCTTTTCGAGGAATTCCGTACTGCTGCGGTTCCGACAGCTTATGGTACTCCCGACTTCCATCCAGGACGTAGTAATGGAACATCGCAAACGAATCCCAAGATTGGAGGTCGTGGGGAGAGGGCACCAAAGAGAGGTCAACAAGTCAGGGGTGTTCGACTCCATGCAGAGCGTGGTGTTACCTTCTGGCGTTTTAATCTGGAGGTCGAGCTGAGTGTACAACAAACCCGCGTTGCTTACAGTATCAACGGCTCGCCGTCTGTGGGATTCTGGATACCCGGAAGAGGCCAATCAATGAACGTGATGTTCCATAGCTGCAACGGTTTTAGTATGAGCGTCAAGTAAGTCTGGACATCTAGTGAAACGATTCATGCTTATAAAGGAACAGCCCGGATAACTTCTCTGGGCCTGACCCTCTCTGGCGAGATGTGCTCAATTGCCATCAGACACGACCGTTCCATGTCATGATTGGTGGAGGGGACCAGATTTACAACGATGCTGTCATGAGCCAAAGCCCACTTTTTCGGAAATGGCTCGAGATCAAGAATCCACATCACAAACATGAAGCTGACTTTTCGCCGTCGATGCACGAGGAACTCGAGACTTTCTATCTGGAAAGGTACTCTATGTGGTTCTCTCAAGGTCTTTTCGGCATGGCCAGTTCCCAAATCCCAATGGTAAACATGTGGGATGATCATGGTACGTTTGTGATCGGAGCAGACCTCTCATCTGGCAGATCTCACTGCGCCATCCACGTGTTCGATGTGATGGCGTCTGACACTGCAACGGACTTATATGACGAATGAGCGGTGGCTAATAACCTTTCCGCAGATATCATCGATGGTTTTGGTTCCTACCCGCATCACTTTATGAGCACGCCAGTATTTTGCGGTCTCGGAGCTGTAGCGTTCAAGTACTATATGCTGTTTCAGCACCAAAGTGTTCCAGACGAAGGGCCCGCTGATGAGCCAAGTTGGCTCATGGGATCTGCACCTGGGCCTTATATCAACGAGCCTAGTAGGAGTGTTTTTGTTTCTCTTGGGAAGAATGTCGCGCTTCTTGCTCTTGATTGTCGCACAGAGCGAACAGTAAGTGGAAGATCAGACAACGAAATCCCGTGATTGTGCTAATCCAGCACAGAGAGAAGAAATCCTAAGCGAGGCTACATATCAGATAGTGTTGGATAGGTGCCGAAGAGAGATCGTTGAGGGTGAAACGAAACATCTTGTCGTGGTGCTCGGTGTACCTATCGCCTATCCAAGATTAGTTTGGCTCGAGAACTTGATCACAAGCAGAGTGATGGACCCTGTCAAAGCCCTAGGCCGAGCTGGTATGCTCGGAGGCTTCCTTAACAAATTCGACGGCGGCGTGGAGATCTTAGATGATCTGGACGATCACTGGACCGCGAAGAATCACAAACAAGAGAGGAACTGGTTTGTCCAGGAGCTTCAGGAACTGGCTGCAGAAAAGTCGGTAAGGGTGACAATCCTTGGGTAAGTTTCAAGAACAGCTTTGGGAGTTTCTTCGATACTAACGAGCGACTAGTGGTGATGTTCATCTAGCAGCGGTCGGCCAATTCTACTCAAATCCTAAGCTGAAGATACCAAAGGACCGAGACCATCGCTACATGGCCAATGTCATCTCATCTGCCATCGTCAATACGCCTCCACCGAACAATATGGCCGATATTCTCAACAAGCGTAACAAGACTCACCATCTCGACGGTGACACCGATGAGGACATGATTCCAATGTTTATCCATGATGTGAATGGCAAGCTAAGAAATAACAAAAGGCTCTTGCCACGAAGAAATTGGTGCTCAATTAGAGAGTACTATCCAGGCTCCACACCTCCACCAACACCACCTCAGTCGGAGCCGCAAACCCCGAGCGACGAGTCTCCGCCCCCTCCAACTCGCCTTCAAAGGACCCTATCATTAACAAGGGGTGATGTAAAACCTGGCAATCTCATTCGCCGACTCTCAGGTCGTGGGCCACCGCCAAGCAACGACTATCCGCCTTCAAACAAGTACGACACTGGAGATTCTTCATCCTCGCCTCCGCCTGATGGCTACTTCCCTCCTCAGCCCAAAATACCTCAAAGAGCTGTCACCATCAGCGGCAATGGCGATCAACGCCATAGCTCCGCCCCTCTTCCACGTCCCGGCAATTTCCACCGCCGTCCGACCAACATGAGCGAGAAAGCTGCAGCGAAAGGAGGAGACCTGGATGACATGACAGGTCACATCAATCTTGAGCATGGACTGGATCTAGTCTTGAACTGTGAAGTCAACCAGAAAGATCCAGCAGGTATCACCGTTCCTTACCGGCTTCTAATTCCAGCGCTTTGGTACGAAGGAGAAGGAGACGTCAATACCGAGACGTATAAGAAGAAGGGCCTTTTATCTCGGCTAGGCAGTATCAGAGGTACCAGGAGAAACACTCTGGCCGGCAGTCAAGGTCGGAGCAACTGGGGTCGGCAAGACAGCCTAACACCAAGTGGGAGCGAGGGTGAGACTGAGGATGAGGATGAGGACGAGGCAGAAACTGAACCAGTCAAACCTCGACGATGGAGCTTTGGAGTCTCCCAAAGGAGGCAGTATCGAGATCAGACGCCCCCTCTCGAACGGGAATATGGCGATCAGCGGCCCCAGAGGCAAAGAGATTTCGAAGATCGTAACCAGCAGATTGGACAAACAAAACAGAAACCCTTCTCGATGCCGCCAAGGCAGAAAAGGCAATATGGAGAGCTGGGTCAGCAGCAAGGCCAGTTCGTTAATTCTGATTATGACGAGGCACGGTATGATTCTGTTGATTATCACCAGCATCTTGATGCGAGTCCCCCAAATCCGAACAGCGGGTACCAACGCAAGCCGAGTAAGGTCGACCGCATGCTGGGTGTTGGTCCTATGGCGCGTGCCAACAGCTCCTCAGCGAACGGTGGGATTAACCCGCCGAGCTCCGCCGACGCTCATACGAGTGTCCAGACTGGCGCCCCAGGGTATCCTGAGAGTGGCGGCTCCGAGAGCGAGGAATATGAAGAAGAGCCGCCTAAGAATTCATCGAGGCCCGCTTCCCAGGGTTATAGTGGCATTGAGGCGTATTCGGAGAAGAAAGATACAGGGTGGAGAAAGTTCCTGAATAAGGTCAAGGATATCGAGGAGAAAAGTTCTGGCCGACGTCCCCCGGCCAATTGAGGATTGAGTATGGGCGAGGCTCAAAGGATGGAATAAGAAAGAGTAGAGGAATGAATAATACAGCATCATTTCGTTGCAGCGTTAAGTTGAGTCTTCACTTGACATAATTCTAATTACATAGCGATTCAGCGATAGCAGTATGCCAATAATAGTATTTTTAAATGGTTTGATTAAATCTGATGCAAGTGGTTCTACCTATCAGCAAGTGCTAACTGCACGAATCTTTTTCCTTCCTGATGATAGAGCTTAGAACGCCGTCGCTATGTTTCGTATTGATCATTGCCATCTTGCTGCCAGGCAAGCAGATTATTCCGCGCTATGCAAGAATCACTGTATCACACCTGCTCATAAGTTAGGTGGCCCTCTTAGCCCGCCTCCACCATGGTTAAGCAGGCGAGCTACCAAGAATTTGCAGTCTTGGGTGCTGAGTCCTTCTACTTTAGCGCCAGCTTCAGGAATCATGCCGAGGAAAGTCGCCATTCATTCATAAATTGGCTTCAGGTTGAGCGTTCAACCACGAAGAAAACTTCTTGTGGGTTTTGGTTCCACCCGTGTTTCAGGTTCTTGTACCGCTTTGGAGTGCCACTTTGATTTCGTACCTCGCCCACAAAGTGCCCATTATGAACTCTGCTTCATACTCCCACACCTAGCACAAGTCCACCACTCGCTCTCCATGAAGTTCCCACAGGAATGACAAGACCAACCTATCGGCTTCTTCGGCAGCTGCGACGTCCTGGCCTCAAGAGACATGAGCGACTTCACTGCTTTCTTGGAATTGCTATCCCTGATTGAGCTAGGCCTAGCTTGAGTCGAGCCAATTGTCTGAGGGTTTGATAGGGGCAAAGGTGGGGGAAACGAGCGTTCGGTACTGCAGGCATCGCAGCAGAGATAGTTGGCTGGGTTGACCAGGGTACATATTTCACAGGTCCAGGGGTCTGAGAATGGTGTTTGGGGTTTGGTGGATGGAGGTTGAGTGTGGGGGGGAGGCGTGCTTTGTCCGTAGCCTAGATCAACCGTGTTGGTGATAGGAAGTATGGGTTTTGTGGATGCTGGAACTTGTGGTGCAAGGTTAGATCTGATTCCAGATTCTGATTTGATTCTGTTGAAGCCTCCTTGGCTGCCAGCGGGGTTCTCTTTGCTGGGCGGAATGTAGGCGTCACCGTACTTATCTCTCTCTTCTTCCTGGACGAGGTCAATGTAGGCGATCATAATAGCTTCTTCGTTCGCATCATCCTCTTCCGCTTTGGTCCGAAACCCTTTTTTGTTCGTCTCCTTGTCTATCTCCTTCTCACGCTCGGCACCAACGCCGCTAGCACAGCCTTTCATAATCGCAGCTCTCCTCGCTGCGGCGTCTGCAATCACGTTCCTGATATCCACGCCTCGCCGTACAGGAGCACCTCCCAACTTTTGCCCTGATCCTGCCGTGAGAGTTCGTCGTTTCTCTGCGTTGACGCGAGCTAGGCGACGGGCTTCATGCATAGGGATAAGACCCCTACCGCCGAGCTTGTGGCCTGTGGAGAGGAAGCCTTCGCCTGTATAGCCTTTGCGAATAAGTTGGTCGTACTCGTCGCGGAGTTGGTTCCAGAGGTTGTGGAAGGATTCGTCGTGGGGTCCGAAGACGATGTGGCAGAGTCTGAGAAACGGCTATTAGTTATGTAGATGGTACAGCGCCATGAGTATTCTTACTCGTGTAGCATTGTATCCGTGACCTCCTCCAGAGGAAGAAACTGACGCTCGTCGCCAGGATACCTCAGGCGCAGGCAAATCTTCTGTCCTTTATTTATGTTCAACCCTAACAAATTACGTTCCGGTGGATAGAATTCCGTCAAAACACCGACTTTCCACCCTCGCTGTCTCATTATGGGCTTGACCAGGGAGGCGATTTTGCGGAGGGTTTGCAGCGCCTCCGCCTCTCGGGGGCGCGACCTTTCATGCTGATACTCGGAGACAGCAGGATCATGTTCGAAGGCCATGTTGACAGTTGTGTTGGGGAAGGCTATTGGTAGCTATGGGAACAGTTCAGAAGAGAAGACTTTGGTTCCTGGTAGACCATCGTGTGAGGTGGTGCATTGCCTCCAGATGTATCCAGAATCGTGCTTACGAATGCCTTCTGCCATTCACATGATTTCAAAGGTTCCTCCACAGCCCCAACTCCAAAGGTCAGCGAGCCTACCCTTACATTGGAAGATATTGATTGAAGAAGGAAGAAGAAATAGAGCAGAGCCACGGAGTCTCCATTACGATGGGATCACGTGAGGGTGATCGGCTAATCCTTGGGTAAACGTATTTATGCCCCTCGAGTCGAGGAGTTCTTACCCTCATCCTACACCTTGGCGAAGTTCAACAGCTTGATATTCATGGACAGCGTGTCTCTCCACGATCACGTCTCGTCTGAAATGTCGAGTATCCTGGGTTCAGTTAACTCCTTCACTGAGGCTATCGATCGTCATTTCGAGTCTGTGGGCCGTTCATTGAAAGATGCATTTCGAGACACCCCTTGGCTTCCAGACTCGATTAAGCCGAAGCCACCTCCTGTCCCGCACAGAGTACCAGTTATAGCTATCCCGCTTGGTTACTTCGAAGCTACTCGAATCTGGGTTTCCGAACATCGAGCGTGGACAGCAGCGGTGGTTGCATTCCTTGGTACGGGAGCCTTCATTGTATGGCGGCGGAAGAGAAATGATAGAGTCAAGAGACGGGCAGGCCGCGCTAAGAATGGATCCAGGACCGAGGTCGTGATCCTCGCTGGATCCCCGCATTCGCCTCTTACTCGTTCGCTGTCTTTAGATCTCGAAAGGCGAGGCTTCATTGTTTACATCCCAGTCAGCACTTTATCCGAGGAACAAATAGTCCAGTCCGAGTCAAGAGCTGACATTCGGCCACTTAACATGGATATTACATCTGTATACCTCCTGCGTCTCAAAAGCCAGACAGGGTTTGCTAACCATTTACTACAGCCCTCCTCTACAGAAGAAACCGTCCAGAAATTCACCACACACATAAATACTCCTCAGCAACCCCTCTCCAACGCTCCACCTCACGACCTGCACCTGACTTCCCTCGTATTATTCCCGGCCGTTACCCTTCCTGTCAGCCCTGTTACTTCCCTTTCCCCACCCGACTGGTCTGATATCCTGAACACCAATCTCGTGGCACCGTTCACGACTCTCCACGCCTTCCTACCCCTCCTTGTCTCCCAAAAATCCTCCCTCCTGTTCCTCAACCCTTCGATCGTACCCTCGCTCACTCCGCCTTCCCACGCCGCCGAGAGTATCATAGGGGGTGCCTTGAACCAGTACATCTCCACACTACGCCGAGAGGTGCAGGTCCAAGGCGTCAACGTCGTACATTTCCGGCTTGGTCACTTCGATTATGGTCCTAGTCTCTCAGACAATCAGCAGCTGGTGCCGAGCCAGTACTCGCCGAGAGCGGAATTTGCGAGGCGGAGGCTCGAGCAAAAGGGACTCGAGAAGCCGGCGAAGGGCCAATCCTTGCGCGAGTTGCACAACGGAGTTTTTGATGCTATGGTGAGAGGCAAGGGAAGAAATGGGACGATCTTTGTGGGACGAGGTGCCAGGAGTTATGAACTTGTGGGGAGATGGGTTCCGGATGGGATTGTGGGCTGGATGATGGGGGCTGCTAAGACAAATATTGTTGAAACGGCGGAGAAAGAGGGTTCTGTAGAAGGTAGCACTGAGTGGGAGAAGGTGGATGACGGTGATGACAGGTAAGTGTACCGGAGGAATCGTGGTGGGTTAGAGGATTAGTTAGCGTTCATCTCGTCTTGTTCATACGAGCAGGTGGAATGTATTGGAGGCATGGCGTTTGGCGTTCGAATTGTTCGATTTTCATCTAAGTACCACGATGCTCAATATAGGCACAAATCAAAGCTTATGGCTTGGACCAAATGGTTGGAGTGCTCCAACAGTATTCATCGGTGCTTCTGCACATAACCAGATTGTATCAGCAGCCCGGACAACTTTCATTGCTAGATTTTCGTTGCGCTCCCTCGTCAGTCAACCACATATTGTCCTCTGGCTAGCGGACATTGCTTGACGCATTCCATGGCGGAGGGACGGCATAGACCGGTTTCGCTTCGATCGGTGTGCTGAGGATAACCTCTCTCAACACCCGGCTCAAGACTCCAAGCCACTGTCATTTGTCATTAAAGGATGATATGTCCGGTCCCAAGCTTAGCGAAGGTCAGAGACTGTATGATTCAACACTCCTCCTCTCTTTACGGTCACCAAATTGTGATTGGCAGGGAACACCTTTGAGTATTCTTCGAGCATTTCAGACATGAGCAGGACTTCATCTATCGTGACCTCCTCCTCGCCTCCTAGGATTATACCGTCCTCCACCACCCCTACCTCTACCCCTTCCTCTGTTGCTCTCATTCCGCTCGTACTCCCTCTGCTCTTGTCGATCAGCCTCCTCCCGCAGTCTCTCCTTCTCTGCCTCTATCTCCTCCGCCGTCTTCTCAACTTTCAGAGTAGGCTTCGGCAAATCCTCTGGGAACCTTGGGTGCGCACCTTCCTTACATTGCCTTCCATAAGGGCAAAAGCCAGCAAGGTAGAATCTGCACAACGTCTTCCGCACATGCTTCTTGCTGCAACGTTGACCCAAAGGGCAAAATCCCTTCTCGTAATGCGGACAAGGAGGCAGTCTCGTTGCTGGATCGACGTGTAGATAATTGCAGTCCTCTCCACTAACACAATATCCACTTCGATTATAGTTCGTACATTCTGCTCTAGCCCGTATGTTGTATTCATGCAGGTAATCGCATTGGTCACCCTTCTTACAAAGACCTTTCAGCCAGTGCTTGCAGACGAGATTGTTGTTGTGATGGTTGCCGTGTTTATCAGGACACAGATTGCCTAATGGGCAGAGGCCTTGGCGGTCTGCTTGACAGACCGGTCGGTTAGGATCGAGACCGAAGCGGTATTCGCGTTTGAGGAAGTCGGAGAAGGCAAATTCAGGTGTAGGACGCTTTTGGTATTCATTAGGGCTTTCGTGATCGAAATTCATTGGCGTAACTCCACGGTGGTCGACTGTGGCGGCCATAGTGTATAGAGTTGGTACAGCCGAGCAGATGTATGAGACGTTTGGACGATATAATGGAGGCTCGAGTAATTAGTAAGTCAGCTCTTCTCCTGGCTTCTCGAAAGCGGCTCGTTATCACATATGGCTAGTCATTGATCATTCGATTAGAGAGCTAATGCTGAGGCCACGATCAGAAGATAAGGTTCCCTTGACAAGAAGATCAAAGGACCCCCGGACCATAAAGCTGATGTTGCCAAAATATCTAAAAAATGCCCGACAACACCTAGTCTCAGTACTCAGACTCTATTCGGAAGGGTTGGTGGTAGTGATAGGTCGGAAAAACCTTTTTTCCGGGCCGAAAATTCGTCATACCCTTCCCTTAGAGTCTGAGTAGGAAACCCTAGAATCGCTACATTGACCGTTATTTTGTATAAGATCCTCACCAAAATTGACCGAAATAGAAAATAAATGGTTTCTTTTAAATATAACTTTTTATTAAGAATTCTAATTAAAAAATAGTCTTTCATAAAATAACTATTTAAATACCGTAGAATTAGATTTTTTTTTTCGATTTTTAATAAAATAGCTTAATTAATTATTTTTAGAAGATTTAAATTAGAGTTTTAAAAACTATATTTTTAACCCCTCTCTTATTTTTTAACGTGCACCGGCAAAACTCTAAAAATAATATCAAAATACTCGTTATATTTATAAGTCTATTTAAGAATATTATTATAGAATTCTCTGGGCCAGATTTTACACATTAATATTTCTTATATTTTTACTTCAAATTTATTTATCTAAGCTATTATCTTAAATTATTTATTAAATAATTTATAATTTTAAATTATTATTTAATAATTTATAGATATAAGTAAAGATATATAAAGTTTTATTAATATTATTTTTTAATTTATTTAATTATTTTTAGATTTTTAGAAAAAAAATTAAAAAGCTTAATAACTTTAAAGACTTTGAACTTCAAATTTAGAAAATTTAATATATTATTCTTATATATATTAAGAATATATTTATAAATTTTTATAAAAAGTGATGGTTCGGTTATCGAGTAATAATATATCGAAGTTATAGATTATTAAGTCTTTAAAATAGTTTCGAGGTAGCTTCGGGGTAGCTCGCTCCGGGGCAAAGCTACCCCGGAACTTACTAATGCTGATATATACCCAGGGGTAAATATCTCATATCAGCCAAACCACCAAAAAAACGAGGCTTGGCAGGGTTTCCTACTCAGACCCACTGCGTGGGGCCTTTTCTGAGACTAGACAACACCCCTGTTGATTACCGAACGCGGCAAGGCGGCAAAGGCGGTAACGCTAGTTCCTAATCAGGTAATGGCGAAATACTACTTACTTTACACTCAAGTATATTATTCAAAGGCTGGTATTACGCGATCGATGCTGAAAGAAAGAGAAAAGAGAGAACGGGAATGGCATCTAAGATGATTGAATCTACTATCTCCTATGCTCCTTCCAAGAGTTATATCCATCTTGCCAAAAGCAAAGCAACGGCCAGGCGGATCAGAAAGGGCGTTCAAGGAGCTAAGCTCACCCTTCATCTCGAATCAAGCGCAGACAGATATTTATATGAATTTCAGTGTGTAGACTACCTACTATTAGCATTCCTGTTCATACTCCACATACGTCCGTCGGCATAGTAGGGAGCTGTGCGTCCGACCGTCCTTGAAGGCTACCCCTTAGCCCAAAATCGACGTGATGGTAATTGATCTACCGGTGGGAGGCTAATCTCGAAGTCCGTCGGTTCCTATTGGGAGGCAGACAACAATGCTATTCAGATATCATTCCCATGTAGTAGTATAGGAATGGTCGGTGACCGTAGAGTTCGACCAACGGATATCGCGTCGAACGGAGTCTTCCCAAAGTCCTTCATCATGGCATAATTACCCTGGTCCACAACCGCAATAGAGTCTTCCGCTGCATTCGTTCTATCGACCGCCAGGGGTTTTTTTCCCACCAACCCTGCCTCATTTTTCTCGCTATATTGTGCTTTATTCAAGCAGCCCTTGGAAGCTCGAGTTCCACAACCCACGACAACTGCAGAGATTGTTCTTCAGTGCCCTGAATAGCGGCGTTGACAAAGAGGGTTTGGCCCCCAAATTCGGGAGGATTCGTATCTCCAGTACAATGGCTGGTAGCATAACACCGTTCCCGCCGATAATATTCTGTTTTCTTTAGCTTCTGCCCCTTAGAGTCCATTGTGTCGAACTTAGACTGCCTGAAGCCTTTTCCACTACGACAGATCTCTCGTTATCGATATCCGTAAAGTGTGACGGTGTCTCAGTGAGTTGATCGCGCCAAATGACCATTTTCGCCCCCCAGCCCTCGTGAATATGCCCAAAGCAGTGTAGCCGTGGTCGAGCTCGAGCGATAGCTCCGAAAATATCCGAACCTCCAGCCCTCTGATTGTGTTCAGTGTAGTCCATGATACCCCTCGGCGGTCCGTGGGTGATCACCAGGTCAACCCCTTCCGTGATTTCAAAGTTATGTCCATGCCCTGGGGGATATTGAAAACCCCAATCGCCCAATGATGGCGTCCACAGACTAGCGTAGACATTTAGTATCGCACGATTGTCTAGGATGAATTGGTGACTTCCTTCGTCTCACAAAGATTACACCTGCAGCTCTTGCATCCTCAAAAATCTGCCTCGCACTTCCATAATCACGGTATACTTTCCTCACGAGGTCAGGATCTAGAGGTGGCCTTGCATCAGCGACCTTTTTCCTGAAAGTGGGTAAATCCATCGTGAAGTCATGATTTCCTGCAATGACTAATTTAAGAGGTGCGTGGATGTCCTTGAGCAGTCATACACTGGCACGGTACTCCTCTAACTTGGATTTTTCGGGAAGGTCGCCGCAGTGGATGGCCACATCAGCATGCTGGAAGGGTCTGTCTTCTGATCGAAATTCCATTCCATGGGTGTCTGAAAGGATGAGGAATCGAGTCTTGACAGAGACTGAGTGCTTGGTCAATTCCATGATGCTGAGGTTTCGACTTGAGGCTAGGGTTATGGCTACTCGTATGTGTGACTGGATTGCATGAGCATAGAGAACTAAGGTACATACAGGTGGTCATGGACCAGAACATATACGCCCACTGTGTAATGTTTTTCCTTAAGCCCCATAGAAACATAGCAACATAGCAACATAGAAACATAGAAATCTCAATCTCACTCGCAACTCAAATTCACGCACTAAGGGGTGATCATTGGAGCGGGCGGAACTGGCTGGCTGGTACCGGAAGATGTTGAAAAATACGAGGAGCGTGGGCATTGGACCAGGGAGGCATTATTTGCAGGAGGACAATCCACGTCTAACCGGCACTGAACTTGCGCAATGGATGGAACAGATTGTACTTACTGAAGACGGGGGAAACAATGTCTAGATAGCGGTAATTCGTACTCCCTCAAGCTATCTGTTTCTGGTCGCTGGATAGAGGATAGTCTGGAGGTGAGACGAATTAGTGCAGCGCTACTCACCCCGTACACATACAATTTGAATGCGAAAAAGGACAGTTTCGTACCAACTGATGACCACAAACCCCTCTTTACACGCTGAGGCTATCTCATGTCTTTTGAAAAAGATACTCAATTTATGCCAACAAGACGCTCGTTAGTATAATCTTCAGCACAGCTGGGGGCATAATCTGGGTCTTTCCATGCAGTAATGTCAATTGAGTGGAAAAAGGCTTTCTGGATTTTGCGTTATAAGCGAACAGGGGATGTGAGCTTTTGGTCCAAATAACTTGCCGTACTCGATAAATACTCGTCAGTAATGGCCGCTACCTGGTAATGCACAGTCTTAAATCCGATAATTCCGGGGGAAAGTTTTGGAGGATGTCCTCCTGTAAAACCCCCGAGCCTACCCCCGCTCCGCTACGCGGCGTACGGCTTACAGAATTTAGGCAGACTTTATTACACTATCATACAACGTTATCCATATAACTCCGAGTTCGAGAACTCTTGAAGCTTTAGAAACATTATTCTACGTTCTATGATTTGATTTATAATATTTTAATTTTACTGTTGTAGGAGGACGAACTACCTACTGAAGTTTCAGATTCATCGGATTTTAGACCGTGCATTAATCTTACCGGGTAGCGGGCATTACCGGGTATACCGTATACGAGTATTTTCCTTGCTCCTTGCACGTGGTTCATGGCGCTGTTGTTGTGTTTAAAAAAGCGGGACGGGATGTGTCAAGAAATCGCCCACGGTCTTGTAAGTTGTAATGAGTTAATGGAATGATGTGATAGCTCTCAATTTTCTAAAATCCTCTGCTTCTAATACATGGCTGCCCTTTCCGGAGACTGAGAGCGAATGTTCCATCAGTTGTAAGAGACATCCCTCCTCTCTTTCTTCCCTAAATCTCACCTCTCTTAACACGGTTTACATGGCTTCATCCCAGGGCAAACCCAAGCCGGGTTGGCGGGCACACTCCTTGAACCCATTCAAAACCAGGAGCCAAGTGCAACTTGAACCAGTTCCTGTCGAGAAAATCTCTCAATCTCTCCCCATCAATGCCGTCTATTACCCAAATTGGCGAGTCTACAAGGGATTTCCTCCGTCCTCGCTGAATTTGAAATATGTTACTCACCTCTTCTACGCATTTGCATGGTGGGCATTCTCGTCATGTTCAATTGTAATTACTAATGAAATTTGCAGGGTGAGAAATCAGGGTCATTTGTTTGTATGCAATTTTCAAAGTTGCTTCTCTGGTCGATACTCACGCAGCTGCAGTTCAGCGACGAGTACGCCGACAGCGAGATCGACATTAACGGCGATGGTAGCGTGAAAGGATGTCTCAATGATCTGAGGTCTCTTAAGAAGCGTTATCCGAACATCAAGACAGTTCTCTCCGTTGGCGGAGGAGGAGAAGGTAGTGCTCCTTTTCCTGCAGTCGCCAGCAATGGAATCGTCAGATCAAGTTTTGCCCAAAGCGCGAGACAGATGGTGGATGCATTTGGATTTGATGGCGTAGATAGTAAGCGGTGACATGAAAATCTGGGCTCCTGCCGTAGCTGACATTTAGAAAGTCGATTGGGAACATCCATCGGATCCTAAGCAAGGCCAGCACTACGTCCAATTACTTGCAGCACTTCGGAAAGAATTGCCTGCCCCAAGTTATATCCTGACCTCTGCCCTGCCTGCTGGTGAATGGGCCTTAAGGAACATTGATCTTGGCAAAGCTTCTTCTCATTTGGATCTAATCAACTTGATGACTTACGATTTCTCCGGACCTTGGACAAATCTTTGTGGTCATCACGCCCAGCTTTACAGCCCGAAGAACCCTCACAACGAGGCTGCCAGAGTCTCATGTAGCTCAGCAGTGGCCTACGCCCAGTCCCGAGGCGTACAGGCTAGGAAGATTCTGCTTGGCGTCCCTGCGTATGGACGTTCCTTCCTGGGTGCTAGCAAGCCAGGAGACCGTTTCACAGGTCATGCAGGCGAGGAAGGTAGCTTCGAGTATAAGGATTTGCCACGGCCTGGAGCTGTTGTAAATCTTGATAAGGAAGTAGGTGCCGTGTATTGCGTCGGCGGTGATGGCGGCTTTGTGAGCTATGATGATGTTGACACTGTCCAAATGAAGGCTACGTTTGCGCTGAAAGAGGGTCTTGGGGGGCTGTTCTTCTGGACTGGAACGGGAGACACGCAAGACTCCACAAGCTTAGTGGAGGCAAGCTACCGATCCTTGTATCCTCAGCATTCCAACGGAGTGTAACAAGTTGCACTGTCTTGAAACCAGATAGATGAATATTTGGAGTGTCTCCCCATGCTCGTCCTTCGAGAAGGAACTTGCCCAAAAGCTAAAAGTCTTTGAGAAGGCGCCAGTCAAAGTGAGCAAAACAGAAGCCCAAACTGACCTGCATCCTCCTCATTCGGAAAGTGCATACCTGGTCTCCATGAAGATCCTGTAATCCTTTAAATGAAGTCACGGTCTTTCTTCCACTCTCTTTCTTCCACTCTCTTACATACAATCATTCCACCGCAGGACAAGGACCGAGTATCTGCTACAATCGGCTTCAACAGCACAACGTTATTATTACTTCATTCTACTCTGCTGCTCAAGCTAACGTTTGTCTTTGCTACCAACACGCGGACTGTCTCCATTCTGCAGTTTGCTTGACCTCCACCAGAGCATTCCAGTATAAGCACTCCCCAGTTGTGTCTCGAGGCAACGTCTCTGATCAGCTCCAGATCAGAATCAGCCAATCTGTATGCCATGTCAAACCGTTTTCATGGTCAAGCTGATAAGGATCCATGCAGTGAGATAGCCCTCGTCGCTAGTTTCTACCAGCTTGAGAGCACCGCAACACTATCAGCTTGCCATCCGTGTCTCCCTTGACCGACTATGTCTCCGCTCATGATGCTCCTCGCATTCATGCTTCCTCTACTCACGACCGCTACTCAGGCCCTCAACGGGACAGACCTCCACACCCTGTTTCCCTCTGATCCAGTGGGCGATGTTCTCAACGTCACGCAATGCTACTGTCAGAGTCCCGATCCGTTATCGCCAGATGCTACCTTCGGCTACTACGTACGTGTTCAAAGTCCATGTTCCCTCTTCCAACGAACTCAGTAGCCCGAGGGCATGTCATAGGAGTGTGTACTTTGCTAACCCCAATATCTCTGATAGTACCTGTTCAACTACTGGAACTACCATCTGAGCCGCAACTACTCCATCTCAGTCAATTGCACCTCGTCAGCGCCTCACAACTCCAATGGTACAAAGCCCGCCAAATGTATGGACCACATCAGCAAACACAAGGAGGTCTGTACAGAATACCTTGACGGCAACAAATTTTGCTACAAATTCAAGGAAGACGTGGACAATGTCGACCATAGCAAACCATCAGCGAGCAAATTCGGTTTCAATGGACAGAAGAGAAGAGTGCCGGGACAGGCTTCTGATTTTCTGACATTATATAACGTGACGCAGGACTGTGGATTCTATTGCAATCAGGAGCTTGGAGGGTTGCTGACTTCTCCGACACCGGAGAGTCTCATACCGGGGGTAGGTAGGGTTGCGAACAGTATCGTTAGTTACTCAGACCTGGATGACATGTGCTTTACATGTGCCTAGTGGAGGTGGGGGGGCTGGATCATGATAGCACCTTTGCGTTCTGGTTTGGCTGCTTCTGTGAGATTCTGTTGGAAGAGCCGGAGATTGACAGAAGGGGAAGTTCTCTACTGCCCTGCTTGTGTTGTTGTTAATCGAATCAGACCCTGAATTATCAATTCAAACCAATTTGACTGTTCCAATTCAATTCACTCTTCTTGAATATTGTAGACCCAATATGCTACCCCTTGTAATGAATAATCCCAAGTCGATTCGGAGAAACACCTGACTTACTACATCAGAAGAGAATTTCTCATTCTTCTGAGCCTCCATACCCTTTCCACTCTCTATAAATCTTTTTATGTTTTCTCAAGGGCTTGAACACCACCTTCTATCGCGTTAGAAGTCTTCAGCTCGCTCATGGGTTGGCAGGCTCCATGCCGCAGCTGAACGTGGACACGGCACCTCTGAGTTCCTTGGATGCTGGTACTATAAGAAAAACAAGAGATTTATGCTGAGCTGACATCTCACAGAAGATTTCCAAGTAATCCATCATCTAGACAACATCTTTTCGCACCCTTCAAGCCTCTCTTCCGTCTCAAAAACCTCCAGAGCCCTACGCATCTATCAACATGAACTCGACCAAGAGATCTCTGCCCATGTGCAGCAGCAGTCGGCTTCCGATGTCGAAAGCGTCAAGCGTATACAGGTCGCTCAGACTGATCTCGGCGAGCTCTTCCAGAAAGTGGAGGGAGTTCGGCAGCGAGCCATTGAGACCGAAGGAGCGATAACAGAGATGACGGCCGACATCAAAAGGCTTGATAACACAAAGAGGAACCTTACACTTTCTATGACGGCTCTGAAACGACTACAAATGCTTACTACGGCCTACGAACAGCTCCGGGGACTCAGTAGCTCTCGCCAATACCGAGAATGTGCCCAGCTTCTACAGGCTGTGATACAGCTCATGGCCCACTTCAAATCGTACCGCTCGATCGATCAGATTGCTACGCTGAGCAAAAACGTGTCAGATCTACAGAGGGAAATGTTGGAGCAGGTTTGCGAGGACTTCGAGGTCACGTTTGCCAAGGGTGAGATAGGACAGCGGAAAGGCATGCTGGCGGAGGCTTGCTCGGTCATGGATGCTTTGGGGGAAAACGCCCGAGCGAGGCTCATAACATGGTATTGCAACACGCAGCTACGAGAATATCGACAATTGTTCAGAGGCAGTGAGGAGGCAGGGTCATTGGACAACATCTCGAGAAGATATTCCTGGTTTAAGAGATTGCTCAAAACCTACGATGACGAGCATGCGGCCATGTTTCCTCCGTTTTGGCGTGTCAACGAGCTGTTGGCCAATGCCTTTTGTGAGACTACAAGAGAGGACTTCAGGGGCATATTGCAGAAGTCCATGCGGAGAGCAGACGGGCAGACATTGGATGTGGACCTTCTGCTTTCTTGTCTTCAGGAGACTTTGGACTTCGAGCATGGCCTTGAGCGACGGTTCACTAATACAGTTGGTGCTGGATTCGATTACGGTTGTCATTGGCTGACTTTCCTGTAGTCTCGCGCCTCTATGGACACCTTGAGCTCGAACGACGAGAAATCGCCAATTTTCAGTCAGGCCATCTCCGAGGCTTTCGAACCTTATCTAAGCCTATGGGTAGAATCACAGGACAAGTACGTCTCTCCATGCATCATTTAATAAATGGAGACCCGCTGAAATTTTCAGGCATCTCTCTACAATGATCCCGAAGTATCGTGCTCAACCACCACGACAGCCTGACGAGGACTTCTCTCCCCAGATGGTTATATCGTCATCCACTGAGTTGTTCAGCTTCTATAGGTTGACGTTAGCTCAATGTGCTAAGCTGTCTTCTGGTGCAAGACTTGTAGAGTTGACAAAGGTATTCACCAAATATCTAGATCAGTACGCGCAACAAATCCTTCTCTATTACATCAGCGAACGTCCGAGTGGGCAAACGCCGTCAAGGACGCCACAGATCGAGGACATTGTACTTGTCCTGAATACTGCGGACTACTGCTTCAACACTAGTACACAACTCGAAGAAAAGATCAAAAGTCGCATTGACCATGATCTGAAAACTAGTATTGATCTTCAGAGTCAGGCAGATGCTTTCATGGGCATCGCAAGTGCAACGGTCCGTGCCCTGGTACGCAAGGTGGAACTCGACATTGAACCTACATGGCGAGAGATGCGCAACACTGGGTGGAGCAAAATGGAGAGCGTTGGAGATCAGAGCTCGTATGTCGCCGAGATGCTTCAACGGGTTAAGTCAAGAGCCGCAGAAATTCTGGGCATGCTACATAAGCAGCAATACGCGAGGGCGTTCTGCGATAACGTCGTTGAGTTGACAGCGAATGCTTATGTCGCCAACATCTTCCAGTGCAAGCCTATCTCGGAAGTCGGCGCTGAACAGGTAACAAGCCCTATGAGCTTGTCAGAAGATCCTTTGCTGAAGCAAACCAGATGCTGCTAGACATCTACGTCCTGAAGAAAGGCTTTGAAGACTTACTCACCTCCAACTCGCCGCCAAAGACAGCGGCTCCATCTAGTTATATCAAGCGCGTCTCGCAAGCTATGTCCCGCGTCGACCCTATCCTGAAGACGCTGCAAGTGCGTCCCTCCCCACCGGAAGCGCTTGTTCAAGCGTACCTCATCCACATTGCCGACAAATCCGATGCCAACTTCCGCAAGATACTCGATCTCAAAGGCATCCGAAAGCCAGACCAAGCGCATTTAGTCGAGCTATTCCAAGCTCATCGCGCCTCTCCAAGGAACGAGAACCTTCAGCAGTCGTCCCCGCTTCTCACCCCCTTAGTGGTCGGAGGGGGTAGCGGTAGTGTTGGCGGAGGCGTTCCCATCCCTACAGGCATTGGCTCACTCTCCTCTGCTGCAAGCCTGAGCACCTCGAATCTACCTGCCCGCTTTGATCCCTCTACTTTTGGCAGTGCAATCATGACGGCTGCTAGAGACGGTGTAGACCGCTTTGGCACTCCGGCCTTAGGCTCGAGCATGTTGAGTACGCCCGCTGATTCAAGAATGGCGAGTCCGCCGCCGCAAAATCGCCGACCACAGTCTCCTGATGGTGGGAGAGAAGCTATTGCACCCGGAAATCTGAACGAAAATTTGAGGAATATCGGGAAGTTTTTTAAGAGGGACTTGACTGGATTCGGTGGCCGTTTTGGAGCCGCAAAGGGTGTCGAAGATGGGTAGATTGCAGATGAACAATAGCTTACGAAGGAAGTACTAGATATACTACGAGTAGGTAGATAGCAGCTGTTGCGTTGTACCTAAAGTATGTTTTGATCTTGCTGCCGTCCACCAAAGCCCGGCGAAATCTTTTGCGACGCTGGTGCATTATTAGCGTGTCGGAACATTGCACTTATGCAAGGCACAGTCGCACAATGCACAACTTCTATTAATAGGAGGCGGGGGGGGCGGTGGGGGTGGATGGTTGATTTGTGGTGCTTTACTCATCATTAGCAAGCAAGGGGCAGCGGGGCAGTCTTTGGTCGGGCCGGCAGATTGGCCGGGTTCATGATATAATCATCGACGGGCCCCTCAAACCTCTTTTGCTTTCACTCTTTACTCTTTACCTCTCTCTACTTTATCTTCATCTGAGAGCTCAGTCACCTCAATTCATATCAATCTCAATCGTACCAAAAATCAACGTCTGCTCAATTCGCAAACATGGCTCCACGTATCGCCATAATTTACGTTCGTCCTCCAACCCCCCACTACCACTATCCATCACCTTCCTTACAAGACGACGGGAGTTACGGAAGTTGCATGCAAAGAATCTACTGATTCAATTGATACAGTATTCCATGTACGGCCATATCGGAAAGATCGCCGAAGCGGAAAAATCAGGCATTGAAGCCGCCGGAGGCAAGGCCGATGTCTACCAGTGCGTCCCCACTCCAATTCCAAGCACAACGACTTGGGCCAGAGAACACTTGACTCCCTCTCGGTGCGCAAGAGAGCGAAATTGACCTGCTTTTCCTCTTCTAGAGTCAAGGAGACCCTCCCGGAAGAGGTCCTCTCCAAGATGCACGCACCCGGCCAATCCAGCTCCATCCCCTTCATCACCCCCGATGAGCTTGAAAAATATGACGCCTTCCTCCTCGGCATTCCCACCCGTTATGGCAACTTCCCCACCCAGTGGAAAGCCTTCTGGGACCAGACTGGCAAGCAGTGGCAGACTGGCGGATACTACGGGAAATATGTTGGTGTCTTCATCAGTACCGCCTCTCAGGGAGGAGGACAGGAGAGCACGGCGTTGGCGGCTATGAGCACTTTCACGCACCATGGCATGATCTATGTGCCGTTGGGTTACGCCACGGCGTTTGCGACGTTGGCGAATTTGGAGGAGGTGAGGGGTGGTAGTCCGTGGGGTGCAGGGACTTTTGCTGTGAGTTTCCATTCATGTCCAGCTAACGCCTCTTGGCAAACGCACAAGGGATGCCTTGATTAATGTGCTTTCTTAGGGTGCTGACGGCTCGCGCATGCCTACCGAGCAGGAACTTAGCCTAGCCAAGACACGTACGTACATTTCGGAGCTGATCCTCCCTATTTGCTACTTAAGTCGAGTCGCAAGACATGTTTCGGGAGCCAGAAGACACATCTACTCCCGAGACCTGTCTTGCAACTTGAAAATTCTGCACGAATGAAACAATGCTGACTTCGATATCTGCGTAGACGGCGAGTCCTTCTACAAGGCTGTGTCGAAGGTCAACTTCGCATGACTAGATGATTGGTCCGGCGGGGTCGTCGCCAATACTGCGGCTGCTCCTTCGTCCAACCAACAGGAACCTGTAGCTGCGGTAGGAACGACAGCAACAAGCGGAACTACTGGTGCTGGTAATGGTGCTAGCGATGGGACAAAGGCAACGACTGTTGGAACAAACAATCCGGATCATGTTAACAAGAGCGAAGGTGCGCCTGCTGCGGAACCTGTTGCTGAGAAAAAGGAAAGTGGTCCTTGTGGTTTGCCTTTCAAGTGTGTGATCTTGTAAATAAAGTTAAAGCATGCAAATTTTTACTGAGGCCTCATGGTTTTGACCCGTCATTTGTGGGCATTCGTACTGCTTGGAAATGTCTGAATTGCTAGACTTTCGAATTCTTTCGTCCGATCTTAAATGTCTGCTTCGAGCTCAACTTGCTGCTGTCTCTCCCACAGTCTATTCGCAGCTCCAACAATAATCTCCGCTTTCAACAGCAACTTCTGATGATACTTGGCCTCCTCACCTGCATCCAACCGCGACTTCTTCGGCTGCGCCAGCAGCAATATCGGCACCAAATCCTTCGCCTCAGCCTCCGCAATGGTCCTCAGACCCTTGTACCCATTCTCCCAAAATACCCTCGCGGTCCTACTCTTCACGAACGGGATCTTCGCCAAGTCTAACAAATCAGCTTTCGCCCCGGCTTTCAGGCGGTCGATCATGTGCTCGAGAGCGGCTTTGAGCATTCCCCAGCCCATTCTGTCGCAGAATTTGATCATGCCCGCTGCGAAACCTTCGCAGATTTGGGCGAGGGTCTGCACAAACCCTCGGGGAACTTCGAATTTGCGAGCGACGAGGTGGATGGGTGTTTCGTTGCAGAGGTCGCGGAGCTGAAGGGCGGCGTAGAAGCGGCGGTAGATTCGGGCGGCGTGGATTTCTGAGGGCGTGGTTTCGGGGAGGGGTTTCGCGCTGTTTGCCCTGTTTGGTGGTATGTTAAAAGGGGGTTGCGGAATCAAGGCTGGGGATGCTTTACATTCGGTTGACCAGGCCTGGATTGACGCCTACAAATTCGAGAACTCGAACGCCGCTCTCATCCAGGTTTTCCATTTCCCGACGGAAGATGGGCCAGTTGATGTCTGTCTGGGAGCTGTAAAGGGGTGTGAAGGTGTAGAAAATGTGCATTTCTCCATCCATAACGAAAGCTCGGAGGGCCCGACGAAGCTCGCCATGTAAAAAGATGCCATCTTCGGGAGTCAGGCACGAAGCGACTGTAGCTTGACTCAGGAGAGTAGCTTCGTAGCTACCGAAACTGTCCACAGTGACAAGTCCATCTTCTATGAGCTCTTCCAGTGTTTTCGACACCATGGTGTCTAACAATACTCGATCCATGGTGTGATAGAGCAAAGTCTTCGGAACATACTCCTGGATAGCGCCAGTATGCGTGGCGAGCCGAACTGTTATGACTTCCAAGAGGGCCCTCTTAATGCCCCGCTTTTCAGGCGTCAGACTACTCTCCACCATGGGAAGGTCGGCCTCGAGTAGCTGCGCCACCTCTTCAAGATCGGCCTTCTGGCAACAGAGATAGCTTTCGCCAATCTCATCTTTGCCCTTGCGACCAGCTCGACCTCTCATTTGCCTGAGCATGGCTGGACCGATGAGGTCCCGGCCCATCCTGGCTCCTTGGAGTATGACTCTTCTCGCTGGCAGATTGATGCCTGCCGCAAGGCTGCATGTGGCTACGATGACGCTGATGACGCCCTTATCGTAGGCTTCGGCAACTATGTCTCGCTCCTCGACAGTGAGGCCGGCATGATGGAAAGCGACTCCTTTCATCACAGTCTTGTCCAACGTATCGTCGAGACCTACTGGTAGGCTTCGAAGTTCACTGATTACGTCTTTCCTTCGATCCAGCATCTTCTCGTCCACCTCGGCAAGGATAGGCATCGCTTCACTGACCAAGGAAGCAGTCGACTGACATCCCTGGCGGCCACTGCAAAAGATCAAGGCACCATAGCCAGCCTTTGCAGTCTCAACGGCCAAAGAAACGACAGCGTTAGTTAACGGGTTCTTAAGCTCGTTATGCTCAGAAATTTGAATCATTCGTGAAGGAGAGACAACCGGAAAAGGCTGAGTCGAATTGAGTTGGCTGGCAGTCTTCAAAAACGCATTGGAAGTTGAGACAGGGTAGATAGAGCGGTCGTAGACCAAGTATTCCTCGATAGGGACAGGCACATACTTCGTGCTGTAATACTTCGCGTCTAGCCAATTTGCCAAAACTTCTACATTCGTTAAAGTCGCACTCATTCCCACTATCTGCACTGACCGCTCCAAGCTCAAGAGCTTGCTGGCCACTAGCTCCATTAGATAGCCTCGATGATCATCGTTAATCATGTGAAGCTCATCCAAAACAACAACTCCTAGATCGTTGATAGTGCACTCTTCAATGGCCGTATTGACGAGCGCATTTGCCTTTTCGATAGTGCAAACGGCCACATCGACGTCGGACCATGAAGCTCGTGCTTTGCTTCCTCCAAAAAAACCCACGACGCGCACTGAGCTATTGTGGGGTCTGCGCCATGCAGGAAGCTGCGTGCTGGTCTGGCTTCCGAAGCTGACACTCTTTTTTTCCACACCTTCGACAATCTTCCTGAGCCATTTGAGCTTCTCCTGCACCAAAGCCACATACGGAAGCACCAAGATGGCTTTCTTGGTGGGATCTTCAATTACTCTTTTCAACATGAGCACATCGGCCACAAGAGACTTTCCGCCACCGGTTGGAGCGGTGTAAACCAGGTTCTTCTCGCCATTTAACAGGCCACGTCCCAAAAGACAGGATGATTGCCACGGGTAGATGCTATTGATTCCCAACGAAGCAAAATTGCTGACCAACCTTTCTGGGAGACTGTAGCGTGGATGAGACAACAAAAGTAGCGGACTCTGTGATGGTCCTGGGGTGGATGCCGATATCTGCCTTGAGAGTTGTTCGTTGTTCAAGATGTCTGGGCCGCTAGTAACACTGCATATCCTGCTAGCTTCAATGCGGTTCTTGCCACCTGCATGCAGCCGTTGGCGCTTGAAGACTTCTTGAGCAGGGATGATATCCTGAAATGCACCGCTGTGGCTGTTAGGTGAAACTGCACGCATTTCGTTATGAGAACGTTTGATGCCATGCAAAGATTTGGTGTTGTATTGCTGTTGGTGGACAAAGTCGATGGTGGTTGTCCAGCCGGCACCACCGAGTTGCGCCATTGCTAGAGAAGCCATAGAACATGGTAACGAAAGCTCATGACTTCAAAGCGCCGGAGAGAGAAATGCGAAGAGGATGAATGATGAAGGAATAATGAAGGAGCGGAAGAGTTGGCGATGATTTCCTCTGTTTACCTTATGTGCTTATTAACTACGGTACAGCTCCGAGGCACCAGAGGGGTTCGGAGTTTCTGCCAAGAGATGACGCGGGCCAATTCGACTCTAACCGAATTGGGCCTAAAAAACGTCTGGCCTATGAGACAGGCACTGAAAGGGAACTGAGAGGAGAGCGAACATTTGACTTTGCGCCGTGGTCATAGAAAACCAGCCTCTAAGCTCCTCGATGCATTGTGAAGCTAGGAAAAATGGAATATCAGGTTGTCGGTAAGCTTACTGACATGCGACAGCGAGATTGGTGGGGAAAGGCAGGCTTCAGCAGCAGCAGTAGTCCGGTAAATGGTTCCAAGGAGAATATAGCTCTGTAGCAATATGTGATTGCTATTAAGACCAGCAAAAAGGATCTTACATACCTTATGCCGAGTTCTCGCAGGAAGTCGAATGAATTTGGAGTTGGAGTCTCGTATCAAGTGAACATCCAACAAGGGAGAGTCAGGGACGAGTGGAGGGGGGGATTTTTGGCAATGGCAGGCATCTTTTTTAGCGGCGCGCCAAAATGTCTTACGCCTAACGAGCCGAAGCCCAAAGCCAAAGGCCATAGACACTTTACTTTACTTTATCCTTCACCAGCTTTGCCTTCAAGTCTTTTGTCCTCAACCTCATACTTCTCCCCCTCCTCCCCCCCCCCGCCGGCTCTCTTTTTCTCCCATCAATTCCTTCCTCGGTCATTATTCGCTCTAATAGCTCCCCTCCTGCGCTCTAACACTAAATACACACGCGATCACTATAAGCTGCTCTCCAGTAAAAACCGTCAGGATATTTGGTGACCTGCTCAGGAGCCGCATCGGTCCCTCAGTACAAGCGCGAGACTTTCCTCCACACATCACATGCTGGCCACAAGCAGGCACCGTCCTCTTCCACACTTTTCCCCGTCTTTCATTCATACTTAATGTGCCCCCTTCGCAAATGTAGCATCACCCATCCAGCAATACCTGATCAATCAAGGCGGTTGTCCTCGTAGGAATTACCTGCGAGGACAGCTCGGCTGCAGGCATGGCGGATGATAATGGCTCTGCAAAATTTGATAGGCCGGCCATGGCAGATCCACCGAAACATCCTGCACCTCATTCACGCCCCGCCAGTGCGAAAAATGAATCAGGCTTTGCTTCGCTGCCACCACGCGTATCCTCCAAGTCGCCTCAACACAATCCACGTCTGCCCACCCACTCTGTGGCTAAGTCGACGACTCTCGACTCGCAACCAATGACCGCAACATCATCCTCCTCGTCCATGCCGTCGGATCAACAAATTAACAATACCATGGATGCAACAGGGGCCTCTCCGTACGGCACGAGGTCTCGGAATAGAACTGGAAATTCACGAATCAACTATGCCGAAGATCGGGAACTCGAGATGGAATACGAGTGGAGCTCTACCAAAAGACCACATGCTGGCACAGGACCTTCCATACCCAACACTGCACAGTTAGGAGACGGCGATAAGCCATCAGCCGCTAACATTCGTCGTTCATCAACCACGGCGCCCATAGCACCACCGACGAACACCAAAACAGCAATTCCAAGCGTTCCAAAAGATCACCTTCCCGGGATGTCGAGCTTTTCTGTCAATCCTGAACCCAATACCGCACCTCCGGCGCCATCAAGAAAGCGCAAAGCACCCGGAAATGTGCCTGCCTCATCGCATAACTCCCCGGCCGCAACTCAAACTCCTGCACCTGGCATAGCGCGAAGGACAGCGGGTGTTCCAAACCCCAAGGCATCCAGAGAGACGAATTTGATGACTTTCGAAAACTGTCGAGGCTATCTCAAGAACGGAAAGTTGAAGGCTGACGATGGAACGGTCTTAGCGGTCAACGGTACGTCCAATGTTCTGGCTGTTCCTTCGTAGCGGACGATGCACAGATGTCAAACCAAATCGTCCGGTCGCTGACTTCTGTACAGATCAAGTGTATCTGGTATGCGAACCTCCTGGCGAGCCATACTACTTGGCGCGGGTAATGGAATTCCTCCATATCGACAACGACCTCAGTCAACCTGTTGACGCATTGCGCGTCAATTGGTATCTCCGCCCACGAGATATGCAACGCAAAGTCAATGACACTCGAGTGGTCTTTGCGTCAATGCAGTCCGATACATGCCCTATAACATCTTTGAGAGGAAAATGCCACATCACGCATAGAAACGACATACAAGACCTAGATCAGTACAGGAAGATGCAGGATTCCTTCTGGTATGAGAAGTTATTCGATCGCTATATACACCGCTACTATGAAGTCATTCCTACAAGTCAAGTAATCAACGTTCCTGCCAAGGTCAAAAAGGTTTTGGATGAACGGTGGAAATTTGTTATCGTGGAGATAGGGCGAGGCAAAGAGTTGACCAGCGCTATCAAATCGTGCAAGCGATGCCAGGGATATTGTGCTAGGCAAGTGCATCCAGACCGTCTTTGACCGACATACCGCTAACCATAGTCAACAGCAATGATTCAGTGGATTGTGCCGTTTGCAAGAACACCTATCATATGAACTGTGTGCGACCACCATTACTCAAGAAGCCAGCTCGTGGATTTGGATGGTCATGTGGACCGTGCAGTCGCAAGCAGGAAAAGAAGCTCGAAGCCCGAAATACCCCAATCGTTGGTGAAAAGGTTATGGAAGGAGAGGAAGAGGAGGTCATTGATGAGGAGGAAGATGAGCATGCGGATCCTGCCCACGGCAGCGGTTCACACGATGCAGATACCCAGAATCCTGGACCTCGACCACCAACAGCAGAGCAGATTGCGCAAGCGAAGCTCTGGCCATATCGATACCTGGGCATTCACTGCCGGGTAGAAGATGCCCTCGACTACGATGATCGCATATATCCGCGAGCTAGTTCTCGATTGGGGCCCAAACATCAGGCAAATGTGCAGGTATGGCAGGGCCAACCTGTGGAGTTCGTCAAGCCTGCAGATATCAAAAAAAAATACATGAAGGGAACCAGTCATAAAAAGGACGCCAAGTTGACCAAAGAGACAGTCGCAGCGCTCGAGGCTGATAAAGTCACAAAGGAGAAGCGTCCGAAGTGGGTCATGGATGAGCCACTTGGGTATGTTGCACGGGGAGAAGACTATCCCGTTGGAGATCCTAGAAACACGGCTCAGCTGAGTTTTCGAATGCCTGAAGTTGGCGAGACGTCAACAAGAGGAGGGGATGACTCTGAAAATCGTCTTGGGTCTGTTGAGCACGAAAAGATGGTTGATGATTACATGGTTCGCGCTAGGGATTTGGCCCCTACGCTGATCGATGGCCTCGCAGGACACAACACCAATTTCCTTGACAAAGCGCTAGAACTATTAACTGCAAACGGTTACCAGAGTGAGAAGGCACTGCAACAGCTTCGAAGGGTGACTCTCAAGGACCTCAAGGAGCCAGAGCTTTCGCCAGAAGACTGGAATAAGTTTGTAGATGGTGTCAGCAGATACGGATCGGAGTTGCGAGCTATCTCTAGGCATGTTGGGAAACACCAGAAGCACGGTACCATTGTTCGAATTTACTACATGTGGAAGAAGACTCCCCTTGGTAAGCAGGTATGGGGCAACTACGAAGGACGAAAGGGGAAAAAGCAGGCTCAACAGGTAGACTCCAAGCTTGCAGATGATGTTGCAGATGATGCCGACGATTCTGCCTTCGACAATCAGAAGGCCGCTATGCGGAAGCGTGGTTTCGAATGCAAATTCTGCGCGACTCGCCATTCCCCGCAATGGCGCCGAGCACCTGCAATAGCTCCAGGCACAACCGTTCCCATTGACCCCAGCTTCAAAAACAGCAGAGACAAGAATGCACATCTAATGCTTGCGCTCTGTCAGCGCTGCGCAATGCTCTGGCGCCGCTATGGTATTCAATGGGAGAACGAAAATGAGCTTGCCAAAAAGGTTGCCAGTGGTGGTGGTAGAGCATGGAGACGTAGAATTGACGAGGAACTCCTAATCGAGCTTGTTAGTGCCAACGAGGTCAGCTCGATTGGAATGAGCACCACCACTGCGGCAGCGGCAGCATCGGTTGGCGTGGAAATTCCACCCAACTTGACGATCCATCCAGGGCAGGATGGTCCCAAGAAAAAGCAGAAGATAGCCGTTGACAACCCAGTGGTTTTGGGACCCCAAGATGGCGTGCCTGTCGAGCCTCCGAAAAAGAAGATCATCGAAAAGCCACCTGAACCAGCTCTTATACCTGAACAGCCCCGAATCAGGCTTCAGCCCTGCGCCGTTTGCTACGAATTCGAACCCTTGAACGACGAACACCTTGAGTGCAAGTACTGCAGGCTAACAGTACACCGAAATTGTTACGGCGTTGCGAAAGAGCGACCAAAAGAAACGTGGACTTGTGACATGTGTGCGAACGATTCTGGGCATCAGCTTTCAACGACCTACGACTGCGTACTCTGTTCCGTTCGCGCATATACTGACACGGAACTCATGGAACCTCCAAAGGTGTCTCATAAGAAGAAGACAGATCGCGAGCGTGAAAAGGAAAGGTTGGAGCGAGAACTGGTTGTCACCGCTACCGAGCTGTACCATCGCGACCAGAAAGCAAAAGGGAGACCGGAGCAGCCCCGTCAGCCTCTCAAGCGGACTTCGGGCAACAATTGGGTCCATGTAGTTTGTGCGATCTTTCATCCCGAGATAAAATTCGGCGACCCTCACAGGCTTGAGCCGGCAGAGGGATTTGGCGCTGTTCCCGTTGCCAAATACAATACAGTGTGCAAACTATGCAAAAGAACCGATGGAGCCTGCATCAATTGCACCCACTGTCAAGGAAATGTTCACCCGACTTGCGCACAGCAATATGGCGGTATGCTCGGCTTCGATCTGAATCCCGTCAAAAGCTCGCGCAGTCACGCGGTCAATACCGTAGGCATGGGTGGCGAAGTGGGAAACGCTACAGCAGTCGTCTACTGCAGGGATCACCCACCGAAGCATCCCATACATCTCATGTCTGAACAGCAGGATACTCTGAACGCACTCCAGGTCTTTGCTCGCAGTCACAAGCAGGCTGACACCTCTTTGACCGGAACGCTGCGCAAGGCGCTTATCGTTGATGCCGCGACAAAGACTGCAGCACAGCTTGGAAGTGTTGGCGCAAATCATCGCGGTTCTAATTCCACTGCAGCTAGTGGTGCAGTTGGAGCTTCATCATCGGCGCCCACCACCAGGAGCTCTAGGGTCTCGCCGTCGACATTTACAGTTAGGTCTGATGAAGTTGACGAAGACGGTGATCGTGTGGTTCATTTGAGCGAAGAGATTACTGCTAAGCTTGATGCGAAAGAGTGTGCCATGTGTGGTACTGACGCGAGCCCGAAGTGGCATGAGATAATGCCCAAAGCCGTCTCTGAACCGAAAGCGCCCACAGTAATTGAAAGCGCCGCTGAGCCCCCCGAATCTTCCCAGCCATCCGATGCACTTTCAAACGGATGCGTCAACGGACATGGTTCAGATCCGCACAGCGACTCTGCCGGTAGGCCTGTTTCGTCTTCTCAAGCAGAGCCGGCACCAATGCTTAATGGTGATTTTGGTGGAGGGGGAGCTGAAGACAGCAGAGCTTCAGGTCCGACACCCGGGCACAGCTCCAACGGGGTCGCAACTGGAGAGCAGGGCTTGCCATCTGGGAATGATATCGATGAGCCACCGAAGTTCTTCTGTCACAAATGTCATTTACGCAAGCTCAGGGAGCCAACGCCTCCACCTACCCCAACGCCTCCTCCATCCGAGCCACTTGAGCCGGAAAACCACTCTCCACCTGAGCCTGAACAGTCCTCGCCACAAGTAAACTTGATCTGGCCATCAACACCCCAACCGACGACTCAGGAACCATATCATGGATGGCCAAACCAGCCAGGACAGAACTATCACGGCCCAGAACGTGCGTCGAATGGTGTTGTACCGCACTCACCTCCTGTGGTGGCGCCGCCTCCTCCGCAACATTACCCTCCACCCCCGCTGCCTCCCCAGTATCCAGAACCCGGCTATCGTGGACCTACACCAACATACCGCGATACGCGAGGGGTACTCCATCGCGGATTACCACCTCAGTTCCACGTTCCGCATCTAGTGAATGGCGTACCCGCCGAGCCACCATCTTTCCAGTATCGGCGAGACAGTTCAGGCAACTTGTATCAGGTGCCATATGTTCCACCTGCGATGCGAGGCCCTCATGTGCCACCACCGCAACACCCGATGCGTTCGCCATCAATGCGCGAGCATGGGCAGGGACCTCACGGCCCACCTGAGGCGGCAGAGAATCCATTCGCAGTCCCGACCATCTCACAATCGGCGAGAGGGCCGTATCCTGAGTATGGTAGTCCACCTCCAAGGGCGAGGACCCCACCCCAGGCTCCATCATCGAGAGCGGCGATGGGGCCGTATCCCGAGTACGGTAGTCCACCTCCGAGAGCGAGGACCCCTCCCCCAGCTCCATCGTCAAGGGCGGCGATGGGGCCATACTCCGAGTACGGCAGTCCGCCTCCAAGGACGATAACTCCCCCAGCTCCATCGTCAAGGGCGGCGCTGGGACCATACTCGGAATATGGTAGCCCACCTCCCCGGACGATGGGTGCTGTCCCCCAGGCTCGTCCAGCGTCGAGGGCGACGCAGGGACCGTACCCTGATTATGATAGCCCACCTTCCAGGACGATGGGCTCTGTCCCTCAGGCTCGTGCATCGTCGAGGGCGGCGCAGGGGCCCTACCTCGAATATGGTAGTCCGCCTCCACGGACGAGGACTCCTCCCGAGGGTTTTGGTAGCGAGAACAGGTGGCCGAGTGAGTTGGCCAACGGGGCGAGTGCTAGTCCATCGTTACGGAATTTGCTGCATTAATGGCGTGAGTGAAGGAATGGCAGGCAGGTGGGAGGATGGGGCGCGGGCATATTGGGGATTATTGGAGGAATCGCTTTGCTATCTAAGGAAGGCATAAGCACTGTACTTTTATGATTCGATGGCCTTGCCCAAGATACCAATGTTAGGGCCCAAACGTACCAGACGCGTAGAGTGTATTCTATTCGAATTATTTACTCTTCATTGTGAACCAGTCGACACGTCCGCCATTGTTCCCTCACTTTCTGTGGCTTGGTTCGATGTTGCGAAAGTCGACCGGGTAAAACTTCTGCAATGCGTTGTCTCTGGTCGTGTGAGGCTCCTTTAATCTCGGGATATGAGATTTCCGTCAAGATAGGTGAAACAAAATCGGAGGTAGCGGCTCCAGCCAACCCCGTGAGCGAACGGGGAGTGTGCAATCGGGGGGGGGGGGCCTCGTACAGCTACACTGTTACTTTTTACGACACTAACGGTAGGAATCGCGATAGGATACTCCAGCAGTATGCCAATGTATGTGGCGGAGTGGCAGGCGTAAGGCATGGCCTTTGAGACAATGTCCTGGTCAACCAGTCTGCCACGCTGTTCGATGGTTCCAGTGGTTGAGTGGCAATTAGCACCACCCTAGTTCCAGGGCCAGCAACGCGTCTAGGATACCACCGATTCGAAACCAATTTGTATCTTCCAGTCCTGGACCTACCTTGGCGCAAGAGAAGATCGCGTGCCTTGTTGACGCCAGTTGCCGTGGGCATTTCGACTGATATCAAGGTGACTGCTGGAAAATAGTCGGATGGCTAGGAGATTATTCATTAATGCTATGTGGTTTGCTTTTTCCTATTTTGACCAGTACCAGCAAGATGTTTGTCCACTTGAGACGCGGCCTCGACGCCCCCCACACTTTCGGCCGCGGGCAGAGGGTGCTCTCAGCAATGAATTGGATCAGATCGACGCACATCCACTGATATTGGCAATTGGTGCACAAGCCACGAGAAAGCACGCCTTAGAAAGCACGTCTTATGTCCCCCAGATCATCCTACTCTTGGATCCTTGCCAGCCGAGGGGCTAATGATTAGCAGCCCTAAGATGGGTTATTAAGCGTCATAGTCGACGCTTATTCGTCCTTCAACGGCATCACGCCCGAGCACGCCATAGCATATGTAGCTGCTAAGGACGACATGGTCCACGATCCTCCTGGGAAATGGGAAAAAAGGTCCAGAGATGATGATGATAATGATGAAAAGTACCTTAGGGCCGGATCGTCATGGACTCATCTTACACCCGAAGACATTACATCCCTCCGAGGCCCCCACACACCACACCCTCCTGCACCTGCATAGGCCTAGAAGTGCCTCAAGCATCGGCACTTTTTTCTCCTTTTTCCTCATCAACTCGTGACTCTCTGTCTTTTTCATCTTTCTGCTAAGTTACCATTTTCCATGGAGAAGTAAATCTAGCTCCTAGATTGGCGAAAGCCACGACAATCTTTTTACTTTTATACTCTAGCGGGAAATTCCATGCTTTCCAGAATCCTCGGGACTCGAAAAGAGGCCGCTTGTCATCCACCCATTCAGTTAGCTTTCATGCACCTAGAATACATCTACACACATATATACATGCTGCAAGACACGTCCCTGCAGACTTCCTTGCTCACCGTTTACTCTACTTCGCTCTGCCACCTTTTCCATATCTACCTCGTCTGCCATTGCTGATATTCTGCTGCTTGTCTGATCTCATACTCTGAAAAGGCTGAAGGCGGAGTGGAAGGTCAACAACGTCCTCCGAGTCGGCATAAAGCCAATCGAGGGCCCGCCCATCGACCTCAGTCGTATTACCTGCTGGCATTTGCTGAGGAAAGAATATGTCTTCGAGTGCGGCCACCAAAGTTGGCCATGGCCTCGCAAAGGTTTTGGGTATCAAGCTGCAGTATCGCAATCCAACCGGAGCCGGCCAAGTAGACCTGACAAGAGGCGAATCGGCCTACTCTGTATCCACAGCCGACACCTTTGTCGAACAGGAGCCTACATCACTGGAGTGGATCAGCCAGATCGCACCTACTCCTCGTACCTTTAAAAACTGGGCCTATCATCTCTTCCCCTTTACTCATTGGATTGGCCGCTACAATGCGTCTTGGCTCGTCGGGGATTTGATCGCAGGTCAGTCGCATTCCCTTTGGGCTCATGGATCGGTCAATTGATGACGGATCTACAGGTATCACCGTGGGAGCTGTCGTCGTTCCTCAATCGATGGCTTATGCCAAATTGGCCCTGCTTCCCGTCCAGTTCGGTCTGTATTCTTCATTCATGGGCGTTTTGATATATTGGTTCTTCGCCACATCCAAGGATATTACCATTGGCGTCAGTATTATACAAGGTCTCTCTTTGTCGTGCTTTTGCTGACGATTGATAGCCCGTCGCCGTCATGTCAACAGTTACCGGCACCGTGGTCACCGAAGTCATCAAGGTGCTCCCCGAATATAAAGATCACCCCAACATCATTGCTTCAGCACTTGCTGTCATTGCTGGTGCGGTCATCTGCTTCATCGGGCTTATTCGTTGTGGCTGGATAGTCGACTTCATCTCTCTGTCCGCTATTTCCGCCTACATGACTGGGTCTGCCTTGAACATCGCTGTTGGTCAAGTCCCCGCGCTAATGGGCATCACTGGATTCTCCAACAGAGACGCCACTTACAAGGTCTTCATCCACATTTTGCAGCATCTCGGGCGAACCAAGCTCGACGCTGCCTTGGGCCTGACCGCTTTAACTATGCTATACATGATACGGAGTGTTTGTAACTATGGAGCTCGAAAGATGCCACACAGAGCCAAGACGTTTTTCTTCATTTCGACCCTCCGAACCGCTTTCGTCATTCTTCTCTACACCCTGATCAGTTGGCTCATGAACAGACATCACCGTAAGAAGCCTCTCATCGCGATCCTGGGCGCAGTGCCCCGAGGATTTAAGAACGCTGCAGTCCCAACAGTAAACAAGAAGCTCATCAAAGCTTTCGCAAACCAGCTACCCGCATCCATCATTGTGATTCTCATCGAGCATATCGCGATCGCCAAATCCTTTGGTCGTATCAACAATTACACGATCGACCCATCCCAGGAGATGGTAGCCATTGGAGTTAGTAATTTACTTGGCCCGTTCCTCGGAGCTTATCCAGCTACGGGATCTTTCTCCCGAACCGCCATCAAGGCGAAAGCCGGCGTGCGAACTCCGCTCGCTGGTGTAATAACCGCCCTTGTGGTCCTTCTTGCCATCTACGCGCTGCCTGCCGTCTTCTTCTACATTTCCAACGCAAGTTTGTCAGCGGTCATCATCCACGCAGTCGGGGACCTGATCACGCCCCCAAACACCATTTACCAATTCTGGCGCATCTCTCCGTTGGAAGTCATCATCTTCTTTGCCGGTGTCATTGTGACTGTCTTTGCCAGCATCGAGGATGGTATCTATACAACCATTTGTGTTTCGGTTGCCGTACTGCTATTCCGCGTCGTCAAAGCCAAAGGTCGCTTCATCGGCAAAGTGAAAATCCATTCGGTCATTGGAGATCACATGGACGGTCAAACCGGCTCTTTCGGCTCCAACGACCCTGACAAATCCACCCGGAATCTCTTCCTCCCAATAAGCCACAATGATGGCTCCAATCCCGAAGTCGACGTCGAATCACCGTACCCGGGCATCTTCATGTACCGCTTCTCGGAGGGTTTCAACTACCCTAACGCCAACCACTACCTCGATGACATGGTCGCCACCATCTTCAAAGAAACCCGCCGCACCAACCCTGCCCAATACCCCAAACTCGGCGTAAGCTCCTTTTCTCCAACCCCATTGCCCTATAGCATCAACTAACACGCAACCCAGGACCGCCCCTGGAACGACCCTGGCCCTCGCCGCGGCCAACCCATCCCCATCCAACCCGACAAACCCACCCTCAAAGCCATCATCCTTGACTTCTCCTCCGTCAACAACGTCGACATCACATCTGTCCAACACCTCATCGACGTCCGCAACCAACTCGACCGCTACGCCTCCCCGGACACCGTGGACTGGCACCTCGCCTGCATCAACAACCGCTGGACCAAACGAGCCCTCGCCTCCGCCGGCTTCGGCTTCCCCACCCCCCAAGGCGACGCGCCGGCATTCGAGCGCTGGAAGCCCGTCTTCAGCGTGGCGGAAATCGGCGGCCAGAACAGCGCCGCGGCGGCCGCCGAGTACGACGTGAACGAGAAGGCGCTGAGGCGCCAGCGGACGGAGGAAGCGCGGAGCCGCAGCATCGGCGGCGACAAGGCCGACGCCATCGCGCGCGGCCTCGACACCGCCAGCTCCACCAGCGGCAGCGACCTCGCGCTGCAGCTCGAGAACAGCAAAGCGTACGGCGGCGGCAAGGGCCCCCGGGCTCGGGTGGCGGCCGTGCACGGGCTCAACAAGCCGCTGTTCCACGTCGATCTGACGAGCGCGCTGCAGAGCGCCGTCGCCAATGTGGAGATGAGAGGCGACGGGGCCGTGGCCAAGGGAGTGGGTACCGAGGGGGTTTGAATGGCACGGAGTCGTGGGCCGGAACGGACGACCTTTGGGGATCAGTATTACTGTTCATCCTTGATTGGAAATATAATCTCTGGCATCTTTTTTTTTTAAGTTTGTATCCACGAGCCCGGGGCATGTATTTGTGGGGGATACGTATATAGATATAGCCAGTAGTTTTCCTGCCGACACTCGTTCCTTATATACTTGGGTCCAGACAAGACAAACACGATGGATTGAACCTGTTGGTTACGTGGAAGTGCACTCAGTGATCCGATGGTACTTTTTATTTTTTTTCTCGGAAAAGATCATTCCGGTCGAAATGCAGTACCTACTCGAGCTGATCATGAACCTTTTTTTTACGAACCTGTTCATGCACAAGCAACATACACAACGCAAACAAATACTCCAACATCAAAGATCTCACTGTACAGCGAGGTTCTGGTGGTGGATAGGAGAGAGTTGCGAAGTTCAAGACG